TCAAGAAAATTAAGGCTTGTGTGGCAGAAAGACATTATTGTCTACCTCTGTCCAAGTCATGAAAATTAAGGCTTGTGTGTCAGAAAGATATTGTCATCTACCTCAGTCCAAGTCAAGAAAATTAAGGTTTGTGTGGCAGAAAAACATTATTGTCTACCCCAGTCCAAGTCAAGAAAATTAAGGCTTGTGTGGCATAAAAACATTACATGTATTATATACCTGTACCACTGTCCAAGTCAAGAAAATTTGGGCTTGTGTGGCAGAAAGGCATTATTATCTACCCCAGTCCAAGTCAAGAAAATAATGGGCTTGTGTGGCAGAAAGACATTACATGTATTATATACCTCTGTCAAAGTCATGAAAATTAAGGCTTGTGTGGCAGAAAGACATTATTATCTACTCCAGTCCAAGTCAAGAAAATTAAGGCTTGTGTGTCAGAAAGACATTATTATCTTCCCCTGTCCAAGTCAAGAAAATTAGGGCATGTGTGGCAGAAAGACATTACATGTATTATACCTCTGTCCAAGTCATGAAAATTAAGGCTTGTGTGGCAGAACGACATTATTGTCTACCCCTGTCCAAGTCAAGAAAATTAAGGCTTGTGTGGCAGAAACACATTATTGTCTACCCCTGTCCAAGTCAAGAAAATTAGGGCTTGTGTGGCTAAAACACATTATTATCTACCCCAGTCCAAGTCATGAAAATTAAGGCTTGTGTGTCAGAAAGATATTGTCATCTACCCCAGTCCAAGTCAAGAAAATTAAGGCTTGTGTGACAGAAAGACATTATTGTCTACCCCTGTCCAAGTCATGAAATTTAAGGCTTGTGTGGCAGAAAGACATTATTATCTACCCCAGTCCAAGTCAAGAAAATTAAGGCTTGTGTGGCATAAAAACATTACATGTATTATATACCTGTACCACTGTCCAAGTCAAGAAAATTAGGGCTTGTGTGGCAGAAAGACATTATTGTCTACCCCAGTCCAAGTCAAGAACATTAAGGCTTGTGTTGCTAGAAAGATATTATCATCTACCCCAGTCCAAGTCAATAAAATTAAGGCTTGTGTGACAGAAAGACATTATTATCTACCCCTGTCCAAGTCAAGAAAATTAGGGCTTGTGTGTCAGAAAGACATTATTGTCTACCCCTGTCCAAGTCCAGAAAATTAGGGCTTGTGTGGCATAAAAAAACATTACATGTATTATATACCTCTGTCCAAGTCATGAAAATTAAGGCTTGTGTGTCAGAAAAATATTGTCATCTACCCCAGTTTAAGTCAAGAAAATTAAGGCTTGTGTGGCAGAAAGACATTATTGTCTACCTCTGTCCAAGTCATGAAAATTAAGGCTTGTGTGTCAGAAAGATATTGTCATCTACCTCAGTCCAAGTCAAGAAAATTAAGGTTTGTGTGGCAGAAAAACATTATTGTCTACCCCAGTCCAAGTCAAGAAAATTAAGGCTTGTGTGGCATAAAAACATTACATGTATTATATACCTGTACCACTGTCCAAGTCAAGAAAATTAGGGCTTGTGTGGCAGAAAGGCATTATTATCTACCCCAGTCCAAGTCAAGAAAATAATGGGCTTGTGTGGCAGAAAGACATTACATGTATTATATACCTCTGTCCAAGTCATGAAAATTAAGGCTTGTGTGGCAGAAAGACATTATCTACTCCAGTCCAAGTCAAGAAAATTAAGGCTTGTGTGTCAGAAAGACATTATTATCTTCCCTTGTCCAAGTCAAGAAAATTAGGGCATGTGTGGCAGAAAGACATTACATGTATTATACCTCTGTCCAAGTCATGAAAATTAAGGCTTGTGTGGCAGAACGACATTATTGTCTACCCCTGTCCAAGTCAAGAAAATTAAGGCTTGTGTGGCAGAAACACATTATTGTCTACCCCTGTCCAAGTCAAGAAAATTAGGGCTTGTGTGGCTAAAACACATTATTATCTACCCCAGTCCAAGTCATGAAAATTAAGGCTTGTGTGGCAGAAAGACATCATTGTCTACCCCTGTCCAAGTCAAGAAAATAGAGGCTTGTGTGGCAGAAAGACATTATTATCTACCCCAGTCCAAGTCAAGAAAATTAAGGATTGTGTGTCAGAAAGACATTATTATCTTCCCCTGTCCAAGTCAAGAAAATTAGGGCTTGTGTGGCAGAAAGACATTACATGTATTATATACCTCTGTCCAAGTCATGAAAATTAAGGCTAGTGTGGCAGAACGACATTATTGTCTACCCCTGTCCAATTCAAGAAAATTAAGGCTTGTGTGGCATAAAAAAACATTACATGTATTATATACCTCTGTCCAAGTCATGAAAATTAAGGCTTGTGTGTCAGAAAGATATTGTCATCTACCCCAGTCCAAGTCAAGAAAATTAAGGCTTGTGTGGCAGAAAGACATTATTGTCTACCTCTGTCCAAGTCATGAAAATTAAGGCTTGTGTGTCAGAAAGATATTGTCATCTACCTCAGTCCAAGTCAAGAAAATTAAGGCTTGTGTGGCAGAAAAACATTATTGTCTACCCCAGTCCAAGTCAAGAAAATTAAGGCTTGTGTGGCATAAAAACATTACATGTATTATATACCTGTACCACTGTCCAAGTCAAGAAAATTAGGGCTTGTGTGGCAGAAAGGCATTATTATCTACCCCAGTCCAAGTCAAGAAAATAATGGGCTTGTGTGGCAGAAAGACATTACATGTATTATATACCTCTGTCAAAGTCATGAAAATTAAGGCTTGTGTGGCAGAAAGACATTATTATCTACTCCAGTCCAAGTCAAGAAAATTAAGGCTTGTGTGTCAGAAAGACATTATTATCTTCCCCTGTCCAAGTCAAGAAAATTAGGGCATGTGTGGCAGAAAGACATTACATGTATTATACCTCTGTCCAAGTCATGAAAATTAAGGCTTGTGTGGCAGAACGACATTATTGTCTACCCCTGTCCAAGTCAAGAAAATTAAGGCTTGTGTGGCAGAAACACATTATTGTCTACCCCTGTCCAAGTCAAGAAAATTAGGGCTTGTGTGGCTAAAACACATTATTATCTACCCCAGTCCAAGTCATGAAAATTAAGGCTTGTGTGGCAGAAAGACATCATTGTCTACCCCTGTCCAAGTCAAGAAAATAGAGGCTTGTGTGGCAGAAAGACATTATTATCTACCCCAGTCCAAGTCAAGAAAATTAAGGATTGTGTGTCAGAAAGACATTATTATCTTCCCCTGTCCAAGTCAAGAAAATTAGGGCTTGTGTGGCAGAAAGACATTACATGTATTATATACCTCTGTCCAAGTCATGAAAATTAAGGCTAGTGTGGCAGAACGACATTATTGTCTACCCCTGTCCAATTCAAGAAAATTAAGGCTTGTGTGGCATAAAAAAACATTACATGTATTATATACACTGCACACACAAAACCATCCACCCATGACACACACATACACAGAGCCATACACTGCCTACTACTTTGCTTACAAATACTACACACTAACAAGTCACACACACACACACACACACACACAAGTACTGTAGATGTGCATAGTACCTAGCTACCTGGATGTCAACTGTAGATGGCACTATTCCGTTTGGCTACTTGGACACAACCCCTCTCTAAAATTTGGACATTTATTTTGGGCCTTTTTGGGGGAAAATTTTTTCTTGTGTGACTAAATCTTATTTGATTAGAAATGACATGTCAGACATCTTAGACACTGAATATGATAGTTTTCTTGTGTGGCTAGACACACAAGTCTAAAGTGACACACAAGGATATCTCATACGTAAAACTAAACACACAAGCATACCATCGCAAACTCGTACGTCCCGTTCTCGTGATTGCGTTATCTGAAGAACCGATTAATGGATTCTTGCCAAACTTTGGCCATGTATGTATCTTGCAGAGCCGATGAACTGATTAGATTTTGGGGTGACGAGGTCAAAGGTCAAAGGTCACAGGGCTCATTATGTATGCAAAAACAGCTTGTGATCGCGTTATCTGAAGAACCGATGGATGGATTCCTGCCAAACTTTGGTCATGTATGTATCTTGCAGAGCCAATGAACTGATTAGATTTTGGGGTCACGAGGTCAAAGGTCAAAGGTCACAGGGCTCATAATGTATGCAAAAAAAGCTCGTGATCGCGTTATCTCAAGAACCCATTGATGGATTCCTGCCAAACTTTGGTCATGTATGTATCTTGCAGAGCCAATGAACTGATTAGATTTTGGGGTTACGAGGTCAAAGGTCAAAGGTCACAGGGCTCATAATGTATGCAAAAACAGCTCATGATCGCGTTATCTCAAGAACCGATTGATGGATTCCTGCCTAACTTAGGTCATGTATGTTACTTGCAGAGCTGATGAACTGTTTAGATTTTGGGGTCATGAGGTAAAGGTCAAGCTTTAATGCGGCTTATTATGTATGCAAAAATAGCTTGTGATCGTATTATCATTAGAACAGATTGATGGCTTCCTGCCAAACTTAGATCATTTATGTATCTTGCAGAGCCAATTAACTGAGTAGATTCTTGGTTCATAAGATCAAAGGTCATGGGCTCATTATTTATGCAAAAATGGCTTGTGAACGCATTCTCATAAGAACTGACAGATGGATTACTATTTAACTCAGGACATCTTGCAGAACCAATGAACTGAGTAGATTTTAGGGTCATGAGGTCAAAGATCAAAGGGTCATATATGTATATGAGAAATTGCTTGTAATCACGATATTCTGAGAACCTGTTAATGGATTACAATTGAACTTGAATTTGAAAAATTTCTTCCGTTTCAGTTTGTAAAATTGCTCTATGACGGAGGCATCATTTTTGACTGCGCGCAGTCGAATTCCATCTAGTTAACTGCTGCACTAGGGTGGTATCTACCTATCGGTAGTTCATTTGCCAGCTGATTTGATGCAGGGACTATACTCTGCTACATTTTGGGTTTCGAAGTGTTACCTATCAAGTTTGTTCTTTCTTGATATGGAATCCTTGCAGACTGCCCGTCCAGCATACTTTGCTCGTAAGTTTGAGCCTGTCATCAACCAAGAAGTGATTAACCAGCTAGAGACCTGGTTATATGGCAACTATCCTGTGGGAACGCCTGCTATTGAATACTATTGGCAGAATAGCTTTCATGAACAAGATACAACTACCGTGGCATCAGACGCAGAAAGAACCTTCTACCATGCAATAGTTAGACTCATGGCCAAGTACATCAACATTAAGGTTAAGGTTTGTAAACAAACATTTAACAAAATTCTTTGTTGGAGAAAAAAGAAAGAATATTGGTTTACTATAGTATGACAGTCATCTTTATAAGACTGTATTATTACCAGCTCACATTATATAAAACAAAGGTAACACTGTATTCATATCAAATCGGTTTTGTTTTTGTAAAATTTAAATACTGCCCTCATGTAGATCGCTATAAAAATCTCAAGATTAAAACATTACATTTACACTTGAATCTGTAAGAAATTCAGGTACTACAAAAAAAAAGACAAATTTTAGTCCACTATCCCTGCTCCCTCTCACATATTTTTGTTTACATGTATACAAACACTTCCTTCTAACTGAATCAGTTTTATTTTTTCCCCCAGTTTAAAAACTATAAGTGGCAGAACTCAGCCTACAATGTTACCAGTAGTTATTTAAATTGAGCTAACAAGATTATTTATGCTTCATGTTGTACATGCAGGGGAGTACCCAAGAGAAGGAATGCAGGTTTAAAGTGATGCCTCAACCTTTCCAAGTTCACTACATATTCCGTCATGATAGCTTCCATGGGTTGGTTGCATCGGTCAGTGGTTATACTGATAATGGACAGTCTACTCTCATGGAAGCATGGCTGTCACCACACAAACCATACAGAGTAGTCAGTGAGATAGGTCCTTTCAAGCGTCTTGTTAGTATGGAGGTAAAATAGTCATCTTAACATCTTTTATTCATTTCATTCTTTGAATGGCAAGGAAGGCATCTCGAAGGAGCTGTGCTTTGTATTGTGATCATTCAGCTGGAGCTCATACTCTTAATATTTCACTTACCATACAATCAATGAAATAGAAAAACGTCCCTGATGAAGGAACAATTTTGGGTTTGGAAAATTTGGCAATAATGCATTATATAATCGTCCTTTTCCTCCCCCTAACTTTACTTATTATGCAATCTAATCATGGTTAACAAGTACTTATTGTAGTCAATGTGGTTATATGGAAATAAAGAGGGAGCTAGAATGATTGTTATGCCTCCGTTACGAAGTAGCCGGAGGCATTATGTTTTCGGGTTGTCCGTCTGTACGTACGTCTGTACGTACGTACGTCCCGTTCTCGTGATCGCGTTATCTGAAGAACCGATAAATGGATTCCTGCCAAACTTTGGTCATGTATGTATCTTGCAGAGCCGATGAACTGATTAGACTTTGGGGTCACGAGGTCAAAGGTCACAGGTCACAGGGCTCATTATGTATGCAAAAACAGCTTGTGATCGCATTATCTGAAGAACCGATTAATAGATTCCTGCCAAACTTTGGTCATGTATGTATCTTGCAGAGCCGATGAACTGATTAGATTTTGGGGTCACGAGGTCAAAGGTCAAAGGTCACAGGGCTCATTACATATGCAAAAACAGCTTGTGATCGCGTTATCTCAAGAACCGATTGATGGATTCCTGCCTAACTTAGGTCATGTATGTTACTTGCAGAGCTGATGAACTGTTTAGATTTTGGGGTCATGAGGTAAAGGTCAAGCTTTAATGCGGCTTATTATGTATGCAAAAACAGCTTGTGATCGTATTATCATTAGAACCGATTGATGGATTCCTGCCAAACTTAGATCATTTATGAATCTTGCAGAGCCAATGAACTGAGTAGATTCTTGGTTCATAAGATCAAAGGTCATGGGGCTCATTATGTATGCAAAAATAGCTTGTGAAAGCATTCTCATTAGAACTGACAGATGGATTACTATTTAACTCAGGACATCTTGCAGAGCCAATGAACTGAGTAGATTTTAGGGTCATGAGGTCAAAGATCAAAGGGTCATATATGTATATGAGAAATTGCTTGTAATCACAATATTCTGAGAACATGTTAATGGATTACAATTGAACTTGAATTTGAAAAATTCCTTCCGTTTCGGTTTGTAAAATTGCTCTATGAAGGAGGCATCATTTTCGACTGCGTGCAGTCGAATTCCATCTAGTTATCAGTGGATTATGTGACCATATCTATACATGTCCATTAACCTGTTAGATACTAATTGCAAGACATCTCTGGCTGAAATGTCCATTCGTTCACTAATAGCTTTCATTATGTTTCTACTTTCAAACAGGTGGGACTGGTTTTTGATCCCAAAGAGCGAGTCTTCCGTAAGTTTGAGGGTGTAATTGGACCTCATGATGACCCTACAATCTTCATCAAATGGAATCTAGGAGAAGCATACACGGTTACTCTTACTTGGTTTGATCCGACTGATCATATAGCTGCATCATTTGACACAGGAGTAGAACATGACAGAGAAGAGACACATCACAAACCTGAATTCAATAAACCAATACGCCCTGGTAAATGGACAATTAAATTACTCTTTAACTGGATGATAGTAGCTGAAATAGATTTTCTTGTTGTACCTCTTTCTATTAAAAATGGTATGACAATCAAAGGTGCAGGAGGTGCTACAGTCAATAATGGTCCTACAAATAATGAATATGTCTCCAAAGATTTCTCTGCAATGCGTTACATGTTTACACTGCGTGACACACCTGCATTGCTAGTGGAAGCCAAAGAGAAAGCTCTCAAACAAGGTCCGGCTTTACTGGATTGGATAGATTCTGAGCTAGAAAGCTTCTGGAATGTAATGGCATTCTGTACATCATCTCCATCACAGCCAGTCAGAACAAAGATGAGTGATTTAGAGGAGGAGGAGGAGCAGCAATGTGAACACTTTCGGCCTTGTGAACAGCAGCATTGGAGCTCTCTGTCTCCTGATCCTAAGTCTGAACTTGGACCTATTAAACCCAATGGACGGATTAGATGATAGCACAATACATGTATGTTGCCATTTATATGCTTGCCATTTATGCAGTACTTTGTTAAATAAACATGAACAAAATATATACATTCTATCTGAGGAACTGCAAGTCATCCAAGTCGGTCAACATTTTGTTGTTGTCGAGGTACATATTTTATAAATTATAACAAGAAGTGTCTTATGTATTGTGATGTCTGTAATTGGATTCAAGTAAACATCAATGGAGACTAGATCTTTGCTTTTAAATGTTTGTATGAGTGTGATCCACTCTGTGTAGATGATCCACAGTCATTTTTAAAGTCACTTCTTTTTGTGATAACCATACAATTCTGTACTCTTTGTCTTCCATCTGGATACAAACTCCTCCAAGTGTAGGATTCATTTGTAGCATTATTGTGTGGTCACAGATTAGAATCAAGAGCTTTTTACAAGGTCAACATTCAATTTTGTGACATGCTGAAAATATATGTGTAGGTATTACAGAGTAATTTTTTTATCAACTAAATGTGTAGCCAAAGAAAGATTGAATATCATATCAAAATTGTGGCTTCTCTTTTCAGACAATAAAAGGCAATACGAAGTATAACAGAATGTAGTCAAAGCAAATCATGGTCAAGGTAGAATTAAATATATTTATCACTTGTTCACCAGGGGAGTGTTTCACAAAGACTAAGATCGACTTTAAGTTAAACTTTTAGTATGGCAGGCCGTTCATGCCACTCATTACTGTTTGATCTCACCATTTACTGGCATTGGTCTCTCAAGGGACGTACAAATCATGGCCACAAATCTACATAATTTACATTTTTGAAGGAAAATATATTATCTAAAGACCATAACGGTAAAAGCAACCAGTGGCATGAATGGCCTGCCATAGCCAAGTCCAACTTAAAGTCAATCTTAGTCTTTGTGAAACACTCCCCAGGATTAGAATACTATAGAAAACAATGGAATTATTACAGATTACATGCATGTAACTCATCTATATCTTTGACAATAAAGAATAAACACTTATTTTAGACACATGCTGAAATGCTAGAAATACATTTTTTTATATTTTTCATACATTTTTCAATATATAAAGTCTTGACAAGTATTTACTTGTTGTGAATTTCAACTGTAGAACTTAATTATGATAGAGCAGACATTTGAGGAATATGGAAGTGAACCTGATTGCTTTCATACTTGCCAGTTTCCTTCAGAATTGTGTTATCCTGTTTGAAAACAAGAATTCAAAAGGGATTTTGAGAAAATGAAATTGAAATGATTATACAAATATGAGTAGTTCATGTACATGTATCTCATGCAGTAAGACTGCTGTTAGTTTCTTTTGAACTTATTCCAAGAAGGATTAAGCCTAGATTAGAATGCACAATTTCCAACTATTGATTGCTAATGGTCTTGAGAAGCAAGCCCTCATTGATGATGAGGTCATTCATGTTTTATGACGAGAAAAAAAATACTCAGAAGACTGTTTTTCAGAATATAGTTTTAATGGAATCTTCGTATTTGTAGTAGGGCTTTTGTTAAGAAAAAATGTAACCAGAGTACTTGAGCATATCAGATATTATTTGTCCTTGTCATAAAACTTTATTAAAAGAATATTGTATTTTTAGTACACAATGAATAAAGAATGGATCCATGTACAACATCATGACAGACTGCATTTACAATAGAAGGATCTCTATATCATGATTAATGATATCAAATTTCTAAAACTCAAAGCTCTTTTCTTATTCTTTGTTTAATTTATTTCCAAGTGTGACATTGACCTGTTTCTCTTCTTCTTGACCAACCAATTTCACATGAACGTTTGATTCTGTTTCTCTTCTTCTTGACCAACCAATTTCACATGAAGGGTTTGATTCTGTTTCTCTTCTTCTTGACCAACCAATTTCACATGAAGGTTTGATTGTGTTTCTCTTCTTCTTGTTCAACCAATTTCACATGAACGTTTGATTCTGTTTCTCTTCTTCTTGACCAACCAATTTCACATGAAGGTTTGATTCTGTTTCTCTTCTTCTTGACCAACCAATTTCACATGAAGGTTTGATTCTGTTTCTCTTCTTCTTGACCAACCAATTTCACATGAAGGTTTGATTCTGTTTCTCTTCTTCTTGACCAACCAATTTCACATGAAGGTTTGATTCTGTTTCTCTTCTTCTTGACCAACCAATTTCACATGAAGGTTTGATTCTGTTTCTCTTCTTCTTGACCAACCAATTTCACATGAAGGTTTGATTCTGTTTCTCTTCTCCTTGACCAACCAATTTCACATGAAGGTTTGATTCTCCTGCAGAGTACAAACTATTTTGGGCAGCAAATTTAATTAATGTGGAAATTGGAAGATTCATCTTATAAAGAGCTTTGGAAAAAATTGAAAAGATCTAGGGGTTCATCACACTATGAATCACTAAAACTATTTGGGATTATAAATTGTTGTCGCTATTAAGAACGAAAATAAGGGCATTACTCAATCAATACATTTCATATAGCATCACAGTTATGGTATTCCAATTAGGAGGAAAAAGAACAAGAAAGCTTCCATTTTATTTGTTATCCTCTTTACCAGAACTAAACTTTCTTTTTTAAAACAAGATCATAATTAACAGAGTTCATCTGTGACAATGAAGGTGTGCAAAAACATGTATCATAGACAAATCTAAAGGATTTTTTTTTCTTTCTGCACTTTATTGGGTCAAAAGACCCCTCTATTTGTTTGGATAGTACCCTAAATGTTTCGTCTCTTTTAAGATGCCAATGTGTATCATGATGGTGGAGGTGGGGCATACATTTTTGTTACATAGTAACATACATGTCAAGTTTAATATAGAGATGTTTCATTTTCATGAAGTGTGATTGTATTATTAACTATTATTTGGTGAACCATATGGTGATTTTTATTGATTATATTTCCAACTGAAATTAATAAAGAGGAAGATGAAACCAGTTTGCCCCATGTTGACATACATATCTTGCCAGGCTGCAAACAAGATGACAGAAACATGCCATTCCATATTTGTATATGTTTATATGTACATGTAACTGTAACATGAGCTGGAGTAATATTGGATTGACTCAGATACGTCCAATGGTGGATATGAGTGCTATGCAAGTATCCTATTGTATTATTAATAGTAGAAGAGTTTTTATGTTTTCTTGTTTTAACAATCCAGGAGAAATAAGACAGCACAGTAGGCTTTGAGAAATAATATCTAGTTTATGTATACTTTTAAATGAGGGCAAGTCCATAGGCATAAGACCTGCATATACATCACATTTTATTACTTCAATAACATAATTCACATCTGATGTTTATTGTCATTATATTGTTGTGTGCCAATGGACTCATTAAATCTTTAATCATGAATCAAAAATTAGGTAATCAGAAATAAGGTACAATTTGTGTACTATTTTTAAGTTTGAATTAGGAAAGCATCACACACACTACAGTGGAAATAGGTGGCTGACCAAAAAACAGCTGAACAAAAAGAGGCTTCATCCATAGACAACCACTGCCAATCTGAAAATCTAAACTGATATTTTCTTCTGTGACTGGCCGCCACTTGGTTGAACACTGGTTGTTTATCAGTTGTATAGAAGTTGTCATTTTAAAAGAGAAAAATGAGTGGTTTACAAAGGTCACCACCTAGTTAGTGTTGGTTATTGTTTGTTGTATGTGTCTCCATGTAGCTGTGCACAAGTGTTTTTGATAAATGAATAGTTCACTATGGGTAAGATACTGCAATGGATGATAATAAGTGGTCAATTCAACTGGATGGTGATTGGCTGTTGTAGGTCATTGACCAAAAGAAATCCTAGGTACTGCCAGCAACTATGAAAGACCAGTCACTAACCTGTCACCTACTGTCAGACAATCGATTTAAGCTTTAAAAAACAACAACAAACTTTTACCTACTTCTTTATCAAAGTTTTGATGCTGGATCAAAAAACATGAGCCAATCAAAACCTTCCACCAACCTTTTACTGACCAATGAAACCCTCTAGAAGACTGCCCAGGCCATTCTATAATAACTAGCAACCAACTGGTTGTCACTGTTTAAGTGTGACTGTCGCTTTACAAATAGTTAAAGATAAACTTGAGTTCTGGTAAAAAAAGAAAATGAATTCTCACAGAATCTAACGAAACTACACTGAATGTTCAAGATTACAAATAAATGTCATTTGCCAAACAATTTTGGAAGAAAATGTATACTGGCTAAGTAATGAGCATAGAAAGATAAGGAAATCAGGTTAGTACTAGCCCCGACACCATGTGTGTTGTCCCATATACATCTTTCTATGTAAGTGATTGTTACTTTACCAAGACTCTGCCAAATTTATGATGATTTTGATGACTCCAGAACCTTGCATTACACCATTACTTACATGCTATATGATCAACTTTTCTGATCCATTCCACACCTTTTCTTTCACAATGCAATCGCATTACCAGAACTCAAGTTTATCTTTAACTAATTTGAATTTTCAGGTTTAAATGAGAATTTGTAAAGAAGAGTTCATCAAATCATCGGCTGTTAATAATGATTGTATTAGTTCATTTATTAAATGCCAGATTAGAGATAAGTATCACTCTTTTAATCAGAGATATGTTATTAATTAACTCATGAAATTAAAGTAGGTGATAATATCAAAAAGAAAGTTCAGTAAATGAGATTCAACTCAGAAATAATAAACAAATAATGTATTATTTTGTATCAGATTAACATATTATAATTGCATTGAATAGAGCTGAATTCAGGGACAGGTTCTTATTATATATTGCATGTCAGGCTTCTAATTGCTAAAAACTGCAGGCATGAAATTCACGAATTATTGTTGGGCAGTATAGCAAATTCTTTTGACTGGGCAAAGCTTCACTTGCACGTATAGTGCAAGGATTGATCTACATTTGCCACACTCCACCCAGGTGAAGTAAATGGGTACTTGGTAGAAATTTATTCCTTGAAACGCAGCGTGCGTAACAGCTGCACTGCTTAAGCCAGGGTAATTATGCTGCGTTATTGTAGAGCGCTTAGAGACTTCTGACAAAGTAAGTGTTAGGCGCTATATAATTACTGTAATTGTTATTATTATTAAGGAAGTAATAGATGCTGCGCATGAAGTTTTCAATGGGATTGTTCATTGGATACATATACGTCTTTGAGATTAGTAAATTTAATACAAATGAATACACTTTTATAATTTGTGAAAATTCAATGTATACTTTTCTTTTAGAAATCCACATGCGGGATGCAGTATATAAAACAAATATTGACTGCTGAAACTCTAGCTTGATCCTCTGTGACCTTCAGACTGCACTTCACCCCTTGTTCTTGTCTTGAGGCACAGTCAAGATCACCTTGGACACTAGTAGTTATGATTGTGCCCTTCAAAGCAGTTAATATTTGTATTCTATTTCATAATATTCACATTTTATTAGTTTGTCAATTTAATGATATGTGTTATACAAATAGACATATATATTTACAGACTACCATTGTAAACAACACTCTCGAATGTGAATGTACAACTACACCAATCTTTGAATATTGGTCAGTGTCTAACGAGCCTCGTTGATGCAGGCACACCTTTAAAGTATTAAAACCCTCTGTGTACTGCACAGTTTGTACAAATGATTGATTTGTCATAAGAGCACTTTGTATCTTAGTTCTTGAAGGTAATGTATGTATTAAAGGACAAGTCCACTCGAAAAATAACTTACTTTCAATAAAAGCAGAAAAATCAAGACAAGCCAATCAAAAAAAGTTTTGAGCAAAGTCGGATGAATAAGAAAGTTATGAATTGTTGAAAAAGTATGTAAAACTATGGAACAATGAGAATCATAACACAAATTGCCAAGATGGTTATGAGTTTGTGACGTCATGTCCTCACTATTTATCAATTGCTCTATATGGTTTAATCCCATTAATTTCCCTTTTTATTCCCCAAAACTTGATTTCCCCATGCCTTTGAGCAGGTTTTTATGATTTGTATCATATTGCGTGCATGACATTTCACAAAGTCTTTTATGAACTTTGAAGAATTTACACTATTTTCTAAATATTGTATATTCATAATTATTTATTTTTATATAATTAGTTTATCAAAATTCAAATATTTCATGATTTAACTTGAAAAGAAATTCCTCTATATTAGTGCATCCACACAAAAACATTACTATTAATCTAACTTGGATGCTGGTGTAAAGAAATAAGATTCTTAAGTAAAAAATAGGAAATTCATGTCATCAATATAAAAAAAAATAATAAGTGGATAGTGAGGACATGACGTCACAGACTCATGAGTGAGTTGCCAATTTGTCTAGTGATTTTCAAAGTTTTTAATGTCATTAAATATTCATAACTTTCTTATTAGTTATCCGATTTTGCTCAAACTTTTTTTGATTGGTCACGGTAGTCTGATTTTTCTGCTTCTATTGAAAGTAAATTATTGGACTTGGGTTTTTAATTGTTTTTTGTTGTTTTAAATCAATTGACAAAATATGAGAATTCAAAAGACCGAGATTTTAAGATTGTGAGAAGATGACCACAGCCTTGCTTCAGGGTGACTATAGGGCCCATATTCATCAATACCTCACAAGGCTAGTTGCTAAACTAGGCCAAAGTATCAACTAGAGTGCCCATATTCATAAACACCTCACTAAGCTAGTTGCTAAACTAGGCCAAAGTATCAACTAAAGTGCCCATATTCATCAACACCTCACGAGGCTAGTTGCTAAACTAGGCCAAAGTATCAACTAGAGTGCCCATATTCATAAACACCTCACTAAGCTAGTTGCTAAACTAGGCCAAAGTATCAACTAGAGTGCCCATATTCATAAACACCTCACTAAGCTAGTTTCTAAACTAGGCCAAAGTATCAACTAAAGTGCCCATATTCATCAACACCTCACGAGGCTAGTTGCTAAACTAGGCCAAAGTATCAACTAGAGTGCCCATATTCATAAACACCTCACTAAGCTAGTTGCTAAACTAGGCCAAAGTATCAACTAGAGTGCCCATATTCATAAACACCTCACTAAGCTAGTTGCTAAACTAGGCCAAAGTATCAACTAGAGTGCCCATATTCATAAACACCTCACTAAGCTAGTTGCTAAACTAGGCCAAAGTATCAACTAAAGTGCCCATATTCATCAACACCTCACTAAGCTAGTTGCTAAACTAGGCCAAAGTATCAACTAGAGTGCCAAGTTTTCAACTATTGAGTAGCCAACTAAATCAACAACCGGTACATGTATTTGAGAACTAGCCATTGCAGTGTGCCTTCTGTTGGAGTAGACATGGGTGGAACAGTTCAAAATTAAGGACTAGTAAGTGGGTACGAAAGGCTTTTTTTCTTAAAAATTACGAATTAAATTTTTACTTGGGTGTTAAAAAAAAAGATTTTGTATTGCCATTTGCCAACAACCCCCAAAATCTTGAAATCTATGGTTGGCTTTTAAAAAAAGTTTATTTTTTAATTTTTTACTGATTTTTAGAAAAAATATGTTTAATGAATAACAACATATGTACTAAAGCATTCAAAACTGAGAAATATCAGCCCAAAGAGGGAGAGAGAAAAAAAAGAAAGAAGATTTCTGATCGACCCACCCATGTTTTGGCCCCTAAAGGGCAATACAACATATTTTTTTAAAGGCCTTATTATTCCATGAAAGGATACAATAAACATTTTGCATAACTGATTCACATATAAATATATATATATATATATATATATACATAATTATATATCAATAAATTTAAGGGGGGTAGACCAAAAACCATGGGGAACATATTTGGAAAGTGGGCATGTACTCATCACATATGAAGGGGAAGACTTATAAGTAAAGGGCACATGCCCGGCCCCCCCACTCAGTGTTATTTAGGGTACGCATATGCTCGTACCCTCTTTTTGAAAGCCGCCCCCTATCTGAGGACTGCCAACATTTCCGAACCCCCCTTTCGCGGGCTTTTCGCAGGCTTTTCCTGCCTTGGAGACCCCCCTAAATCAGGAAAAATGCTCAATGTACCCCCCTAAATTCGGAATAATTTCTCAGGAGTCCAAAGAGATGAGAGAAAAAAAGAAAAACACCCCCTTTTTAAAGAAATCTCCGGGTGAAATTCAAATACACCCCTTTTTTTACAATTCTCGGGCCGGACTTTGTCGCACGAAAAGTACCCCTTCAGTTTACCGGACATTTTGGCAACACGCATGCGGTCATTCCGACCTCTGAGTGGGGGGGCCGGGGGCACATGTACTCTAAGGGAAAATGGCACCAGCTAGGACATGGGTCACTTTTCAATCAAAGAGGCACTATATAGTCAGAAGGGGATATTACACTGCCATGCAGTCATTTTTATGAAGGAAAAATGGGCACTTGGGAAATTGGGAAAGGACCGGAAAGAAATAAGGAGCACTTTACAGAAGTGTAAGGCAGCATCCTCATTACCAAGTCCCCCAGAAAGGACTTGAAGCTATCAGTCCCCTGGTTGCTTACTAGCTTATATACAAGCATACAGATCAGGCGCGCCGAAAGCAGTTTGGGATTAGGGGAGGGGGGGGGGGAACCTTCCAGAAAGCTCACCTTTCAGGGGCAGTGGCGTAATGAGATGGGGGGGGGGCAGAAGAAAAATCTGCATCACCACGACTCTTACATGTTACATGCAGGCCCTGCAGAACGTTTTTCAAAGTGGGTATTAACGATCAGGTAGCGCGTAGCAAGCGTAAATTTGTAGGGTTTCTAGGCATTAAATTATCGTCAGATAAGCATATTTAAATATCTTATTTGTGACATTGGCAGGTCAATAATTGGCGGGGGGTCCAGGGAGCAGAGCCCCCAGAAGCTCAGGGGTTTTAGGTATTTAATTACGGTCAGATAAGCATCCAGGGGCCCTCTTTAGTGAACTTGTTGGGGTACAGGGGGCAGAGCCCCCAGAAGCTAAGGGGTTTTAGACATTTAATTACGGCCAGATGAGCACATTTTGACACCATATTTGTGACATTGGCAGGTCACTCATTTTTTCTCTCTCTCTTTCATTTTTCTTCTCTTTAACATACTTTTTCAAAAAAATGAGGGGGGGGGGGTGGGGGGCTCGAGCCCCTGAGCCCCAATGTTCTGCAGGTCCTGACATGAAGGCTTCTAAAAAAGCATATTTTATTGCCCAACTGTACATTTTGGAATTTTCCACCAAACGCTAAAAAAGGTACAATCTACAAAATAATTGAGAAAAAATACCGGAAAATCATGTCATTTCAGCAAAATTTGTCAATCACTGCATGGTATCGAATTAGATACCCCCCCCCCCCCCATCAGTACGCCAGTGTTCAGGGGCTCATGTCTTCTCACCTCTATAATAAAAAACACACACGATTTCCGATCCTCTCACAATATTTCCACGATATGCGCGTATCGCTCCCGGCCCCCCCACTCAGTGTTATTTAGGGTACGCATATGCTCGTTCCCTCTTTTTGAAAGCACCCCCTATCTGAGGACTGCCAACATTTCCGAACCCCCCTTTCGCGGGCTTTTCGCGGGCTTTTCCTGCCTTGGAGACCCCCCTAAATCATGAAAAATGGTCAATGTACCCCCCTTAATTCGGAATAATTTCTTAGGAGTGCAAAGAGATGAGAGAGAAAAAGAAAAAAACACCCCCTTTTTAAAGAAATCTCCGGGTGAAAAGTCAAATACACCCCTTTTTTTACAATTCTCGGGCCGGACTTTGTCGCACGAAAAGTACCCCTTTACCGGACATTTTGGCAACACGCATGCGGTCATTTCGAACCCTGAGTGGGGGGGGGGGGGGGGGGGCCGGGTATCGCTATTATAAAAACCTCCATGCATTTATAAATATAGGGGCATGCATGCGGCATTTGTATAGAAAATCTAATATTTGTATGAGATTCAATTCAGGTCCTATTATTGTTATGTTCTTTTTGGTTAAAAAATACACACCATCTTTACTCCTTTACTTTACTACTTTTTTTAGGGGGGGGGGGAGAACGATTCCCCCACTTTTTTTGGTGGGGGGGGGGGGGGTGGTCGAGCCCCCCCCCCCTCCCACACACACACACACACTTCCGGCGCATTTGATATAGATGCTTTGTTAGCAGTCAGGCAAAACCAACGAACTTAAAACCATTTTGATGGGCAAAACTAAACAATCATAAACAAACAAACTTTTATAAAATCTAAACACGGATATATCCTGAAATTCATGTAGTACGCTTTAATGCTTTAATGCTTAAAGACAGCTTACTCAAATTTACTTCCGTAGTATACCCGATGGGTGATTGTATGAAAGTTTCGAACGCCCATTCACCTCTTCCTCCTTCTTCTACTCTCTACCCCTTCTCCCTCTCATCTTCCCCCCTTCCCGTACACTACAGGCAAAATAAAGAAGAAGATAACAAATAAGAAACGCCGTGCCAAAGACTGGCTTTATTAAACTACTTTGACTTTAAAATAATATCAGCAATAGCAACAATCCGATTTGCTTGTACAACTATATGCTCGCGTGCGTCGTTCTTCGACTAACCACTCTTCGCCAATGAAAGCTCTTTATGGCAAAACAAAAATCAGTAGCTAGCTAGCTACTGTACTTACTGTACTTGTACTTGAGTAGGATCATAATTGCACTGATCTCTACAGCGCACTCACTGTATTGTGATCCAATACTGGGCTGCCTGTTTTTACATTGTATCTACAGAGGATCGAGAGAAGACTTATAAGTTTTGTGGGGCACCTGTTGCTTATGAAGCTCTAATTTTCTCTTAATCGTAAGATTACTTGACAGTTCCTGTTTTAACTATACTGGTCAATACCATGGTTTAGGAAACCACTCGCACGTTTGCAAGGATACTTCTGACAGTTCGTTCTTTGTGTAAGTGAGTGAGTAGCCTAACTGTAAACACACAGTGTAAGTTAGTAACTTCCCCAAGCCAGGCCAGGCTAACTAAAAAGGCTCCAACTCTAAAGCCTTGTCAGTGTGTGTGTGACTGTGACTGTGATACTGATAGTGAGGAGATTATCATCCAATATTAAAAGGGAAGTCCGCCCTGATATCAAGTTGGTTTTAATAGATTAAGAAATGGACAAATTAGAAGAACGGGTCAGTGAAAGTTTGATAAAAATGGATTGATATTATTTATTAATAATAAACTAAGAAAGTTATGAATTTTTGAAGGTGCAATCGATCAAACAATGAAACACAAATTAAATGGGCAACTATGTAATGTATCTTACGAGCTCCCATCAAACTAAAATACTAAATAAATTTATATTTTTCCTTAAATTTGTTTTCTATTCACCTGAAAAATAATGATTTCAAATTCATAGTCGTACAGCCCTGTAATCTGGTTGAAACTAGTAATCTATTCCGTCATGAGGCATTGTCAAAACCTAAGGAAGTGAAAATTTATGAAATTGTATGATTAATGGGGTGACCATGCATGCAAAGTTTACAGAGATTTTTTAGAATATGAGAAATGTGATACATTTGATCCTTGATTTCTCCTAGTGCTAGACATCGTATATTAAAGGGATCCGGTAACTTTGTCTCAGATTCTGAAATAAAATTCTGGATTTAGCTCATGCTGCAATGATAATTATAAACCTGTAGGTCAGTCAGGAACCCCATGACTTTTACAAGCCGATCGCCTGTCTGATTATCAAGATATTTATGATTGGAATTACAAATTTTGAAAACCGTTTGCCTGACGGTTTTTATAACACTACAGTCTATTGGGGAAAACGAGTATGGTAAAACCGGTCACTCAAAGATTTTTACTTTTTTGAGGCACTTCTTGATCATTTTGAAGCGCAATTTTTTTAGGGCTTCAATATTACACCATATCACAGACACTGATAACACGTAAGGCCGTGTATCTCAGATTTAACATTGTTAAACGATCCCTTTAAGTTCAATTATTACCAAATAGACGGCAACATTTTATACTACAATACAGCTTTACAACAAGTTGATGCAACTACATGTATCACTGAGCGAGGGCCAAAGTCAAATATCATGCTTAGTTTTTGAGTTGCTTGCCACTACCAAACAAATTAATCACACAATCGCAAGATTTGTAGCAAACACCCCTAAATCGGACGGGGGTCTTAAAAAGCAGCCCTTTTTATGAAAAATGGTATTTTGTTAAAAATATTCTAAGGAAACCTTGAACCACCATGGGTTTGGTGTCATACAAAAGATAATTGAATTATCTATATTTTGATATCAACTTTGATTAAATTGAGATAAATTGACATCGCAATTTTAAGTAAAAAACTAAAAACATAATTTTTTTTGTGTGATTCTTTTTCACAAAATTGAATTTTTTATCAAAAATAATTATTTTCCATATATATTTATCAAAATTTGAGAATTGTCTCTTTTTGTAATTTTCCAGGAATACGTCCATGTACAAGGAAAACACCTTGTGCAAAGGAGAGGCTTACCGATATATATATTTTTTTCCTCATTTTTTATATAGCAATCAAAGATATTGCTTTAAATTTCCACAAAAACCTTGCATTTTTGCCTATATGTGCATTAACTGTATCATATTAGTGTATTTGGGAAGTGTTTGATGTGTTTAAATTGAGTTTCAAAGATATAACTTTTAAGTTAAAATCACCATGGGTCTGGTGTCAAATGATGGCTAATTAGAATACCTTCAAGTTGATATGAATTTCAGTAAATTATCTAGTGTGAAAATATAATTTTTTGGCAGGGAAAGTTGCCTTTTGTGGATATTCCCCCCCCCCTAATTTTGGCGATTATCTCTGTACATTTATATTAACTGTAGGATAGTGACTGGACATTTAGTAATACAGGTACAGAGAGTTAGAAAAAGTAGCAGTGCTGAGTGTACTTCATATTAGTACTTCTTTGTGATGTTTCATAATAGATGGGCATATGCATGTGCCTCCTCCCCCCCCCCCCACACACCAACTATTCTATGACACCTCCCTTAAGCTGATCCTTGGTAAAATCTTGTCATGATAAAGACAAATATTTCAATATAATAAAATAAAGATAACTACAAAAAAAAATCCTGCTTCTGGTCTAGCTGTTATATAGAGAGCCCAATTAAGACTAACAATGTAGGTCTCTTGAACCCTCAGAAAAATTGTCAGAATGCCTGTCTTGTGAATCAGAAGACCATGCAGAATGCCGGATATATCACGTTTTGTAAATTCTTCTCAATACATGTGGATTTCAAGTCTGAGCCAAATTGTGTTTTCTCTTCCACTTTTGAAGAAAAATCATATAGAAATAAATGTCATTTAGCATCCTGTTTACATGTACATGTATATCAGAATTGCTTCCAAAGATTGATCTCTATGGATTCCATCTTTAAACAATGTATTTTTTAGTTGCATAAATATCTATAGCTAATACATTTATTCTTTCAAATTAAAATAATTTGTTTGCTAAGTTGGTAGAAAACATTTCTTATCTTACAACCATCAGAATACATATATTGAAGAAGCAATGTGTATATATAGTTTTTGATAAGGAATAGTTTTATTAATGGTGAAAAGGGTCTTAATATCAAATGTGAAAAAGGGTTTACTGTGATAACTATCGTATACATGTAGATCTAGCATTCCATGAGTCGTGAATCTGTCTGGTTGCGAGGGATATCAATCCAAGGCGCACAACAGGGGTGCCAATATTGCCAAAATTAATATTCCAAACCAAATCCCATTACCTCTATTGCCCTTGTATAAAGTTTGAATAACAACTTCTTCACACCACAATGGCTGGATTTGCATTTATCTTGCAAACTCAGCATGTCATCTTAAAGACAAGAAGTACTGGTACTTGTTTGCCAACCCAGCTCATTTTTCTGAGGGGAAATAGCTATAAACACCCAAACTTCTGCACCATTGTGTACATTACTAAGAAAATGAATGCTTAGTGTATTGTTCCGAAGAGGTGGGTTTGGGGAATGAATTTCCCATTTTTATTCAGGACTGAATATTTCCCGCCCCCACAGGAGTCCCTCGGGCCTTATCGTAGTTCTGAAAAGGAGGTGTTCACAGACCAGCGTTTCACCCCGAGAGGGTTACTTGTTTAACCCATCCAGGATGTGCCCTCCTTATTTCTTGTAAAAACCTATGACATTCAAGCATAGTATACTTTAGCAAATCTGGGGTCTTAAAAGATTTTTTTCCACACTTACCCCAAAAATAATGCTGCATCCAGCCACCATTTTCTTCAAAATTAAGAACTTCTTTGCATTATAATCACGCTTGTGTGATTAAAATCTTTATGATGTGGAAAAGAACTCTTTCCCCAACCTACATGTATTTTTGTCTTGCCTGCGTAGCAAAAAGCAAGACATACTAAATCGTGAAGTTAATTGTCTATGCTCATTTATGCAAATTTATTCGAAATCACAAAAAAGGCTTCTTCTCCTTCATTTCTCGACCAATTTCGATTTGGTTTGCTTTATATCGTAGAGCTAACTTTGGTACACTAAACTTTTACATAGAATTTTGAAATAGTTGTCCATTAATGAATTATGGTAATTTATGCAAATTTATTCCAAAAATAACAAAAATTGCTTCTTTTCCCTCATTTCTTGACTGATTTTGATTTGGTTTGCTTTATCTGGTAGAGCTAAATTTGGAACACTAAACTTCTACACAGAATTGTGAGATTTTGCTCCATTGATTATTTATGGTACTTTATGCAAATGAAATTAAATTATGTCCCTTCCAGGGCATCAAATTTTTATTTTTTGACCAGTTCAAAAGTTTACTACATAAAATTTACGATATTTGTTGTTGCGAGATGCGGATGAGCACTACGTCATTGACGTTCTGGTTTATCATATTGAATTGCGTTACTGCCCATGCCCACAATTACTGAAAAATCACATAGTACAAAAGAAGTACTTATCAATTGCACTCAGCACTCATAACCCTAATCCTTTGAAATTTTGACACTTTTAAATGTTCAATCACCATCGTCCAGTATATTGGATACTGGCCAACAATAGGGGGAAAAAAATCCACAAAAAACACCAATTTGGCTCAGAATGTATGTTTTACACACAACATAACATGTTGATATCAACTTAAAGGTATTTTAATTATCCATCATTTGACACCAAACCCAGATTGATTTGAGGTTTCACTTAAACCTTATCTTTGAAACTTGATTTAAACACACCAAACTCGTCCCGAATACCCTAATACACGTATGCATACAGTTAAAACATAATGGCAAAAGTGCTGCTTTTCTGTGGAAATCAAATCAATCACTTTGGGTTGCTATACATTTTCACTGAAAGAAGATAATTTAATTCTCCTTCATAATATCAAACCCATGGTAGTTCAAGGGTCCTTAAAATATTATTTTCAAAATACTATTTTTTATAAAAAGGGCCTCTTTTTTGGATGCCCCCTCTGATTTAGGGATGTTTGCTACATGATTGTTTTTCAAATTATTGTTGATATGTTTATATTCTAGGGCTGTGTTCTTCAAGACCAAAGAAAGAAAAGCGTCAAACAGTGGCCGCCTTCAAGTGCTGTTCAAAACAGAGATCCTTGCAGGGTTAGTTTCTCTGTACTCAACCTGATACATGTGTATACACAATGAAGTGGTAGAGTTAAGGACCAACATGACGGAACGACAGGGTAATGAGGTTATCTTGGAAGGGACATTGAATCATGTCATGGAATCTAGAACTGCACTGGTAAGACTCAACTTTTTAGTTCTTCTATTCTTGTAAGACTCTACACTTTACAGAATGATCTGTAAAGCCTTGTCCTCATAATGTGGGAAACCTTAGCAGGTGTTTTGCCTCCGCCCATCAAAGGTGGTGCCGGAGGCAATATATCACAAAGTTTTCTGGGTTGTCCGTCTCTCCGGCTTGCTTTCTCGTCATCACAATATCTCATGTATCACTTGAAGTTTGAATATCAAACTTGGCATGTTGGTATGTATCACAATCTGATGAGAGTTTGGGGGCAAATAGGTAAATGTTAAAAAAAGTCAATGTCTGAAATGACAGGTTTTAGCCTTGTTATTCAATATTTTAAGAACCTTTTAAATTATGAATTTTAAACTCAAAGTGATACTATGTTTCACCTTAGGAAGAGGATCTGATTAGTTTTTGTTTGGAAGTAAGTTAATGATAGTGTCTAAAACTTAGATATTGGGAATTCTCATGCAAAAAAATCAGCACTGCCTGTACAAAGTCAACTGGAAAGTCAATTTTGTAAAGGAATTTCTGGAAATTGTAAATAATTTTGGTAAAAACTTGGTATATTACTACAAATGAGGTACCAAATTAAAGTCTGAGCCTAGGTTTGCACATTAATCAATGTGCAGCCATATAGACCCTCTTCAGACAAAATACATGTTCATATTTCATAGTTTTTTGCTGTTTTCAAACATAGTGTTCTTGTTTTGTTTGTAAAAATTGTTTTGAGGTAATGAAATATATTTCTTTTTATGTATATACTTTGGGCACACTCGACCCAGGTACCTGGCAGAAATTTCTTGAAATGCTAGAGCGCCGTAATGGCAACCATACTACAGCTGGAGTAATAATTTTCCAAGCTCTTTGGAATAGCAAAGAGACATTATGTATAAGAACCAAACATTATTATTATTACTATTATGATACATTGAAATGAGTAAAATGTTAGTTCTAACATCATAATAGGTTTCTACATGAAACCCTCAGATCCTGCCTTCACATATTTGTTTAGTATGGCATCAATTATATTATACTATTAAACCATTATGTGAATTTTGTGTATTGAATATATTTCTGATATCTTTCTTGTTTTTTTTTAGAGATGGGTAGTATTGGAGAAGAACCTGGAATTAGGTGAGCTGAATGCTTTTATTTTATTAATTTTTTTCTGTTTGATTTTCTTTTTCTATTGCAGTTTTTGTCTCGCCTGCGTAGCAAAAAGTGAGACATAGGCGCCGCCTTTCCGGTGACGGCGGCGGCGGCGGCGGCGGCGTCAACATTAAAAACTTAACCTAAGGTTAAGTTTTTGAATTTTTGATATAATTTTAAAAGTATAAGTTCTTGGTCAATGAAACTTTGACTATAGGTTAATCAAGTATCCCCAATCATGTGAGTCGAATTTCAGATCGCAAAGTCAAGGTCAAAGGTCATTTCAGGTCAACAGACTTGGACTATGTTGTAGCATCATCATCGAAAACTTAACCCAAGGTTAAGTTTTTGAATTTTTGATATAATTTTGAAAGTATAAGTTCTTAGTCAATGGAACTTTGACTATAGGGTAATCAAGTCTCCCCAATCATGTGAGTAGAATTTCTAGTCACTAAGTTAAGGTCAAAGGTCATTTAAGGTCAACAAACTTAAACTTTGTTGTGGCATCAACATCAAGATTTTCAAAATGCTTCTTCGTTATTTTTCAACCGATTTTGATTCCGATTGTTTCATATGATAGGGCTAGGAGAGGGATTTAAAACTTCCAAATCGTGAAATTCATTATCTATGCTAATTTATGCAAATTTATTCGAAATCACAAAAAAGGCTTCTTCTCCTTAATTTCTCGATCAATTTTGATTTGGTTTGCTTTATATTGTAGAGCTAACTTTGGTACACTAAACTTCTACACAGAATTTTGAAATAGTTTTCCATTAATGAATTATGGTAATTTATGCAAATTTATTCCAAAAATAACAAAAATTGCTTCTTTTCCCTCATTTCTTGACTGATTTTGATTTGGTTTGCTTTATCTGGTAGAGCTAAATTTGGAACACTAAACTTCTACACAGAATTGTGAGATTTTGCTCCATTGATTATTTATGGTACTTTATGCAAATGAAATGAAATCATGTCCCTTCCAGGGCATCAAATTTTTATTTTTTTGACCAGTTCAAAAGTGTACCACATAAAATTTACGATATTTATTGTTGCGAGATGGGGATGAGCGCTACATCATTGACGTTCTGGTTTATCATATTGAATTGGTTATGCAGGCGAGACCGCCGAGAGTGTTTCCCTTGTTTTAATATAATGAACAAATCATGGCAAACGTTATACAAGACAGAAGAGTATATGTAGAATATAGTAAGGTTGGCTGTAACTAATCAAAAACATTTAACACGAGGGTTGACAAAGTAAGTAAAACTTGATAGCATGACCACCCTCAATGGATACATAATAATACAAATATGGAGGAAACAATATTGGTAAAAGGGGGAATAAAGTGAGCTGGTTTGTAAAGAATGTAAACGTGGCCCTATGAGTTGGAGCCTTTGAATGTTTGTATACAAAACAATGTTTACTTAGCATCCCAAGTAGGCCACTCTTTATTCATACCAGGTCATGAAAGGTTATAATCAAGGTTTCAATTAATGGAAGCAAAAAACGTAGGAGTACTGAACAGTATTCAAGTTTTGTAATGACAGGCGTACTTTGAACTTGTATTATCAACAAACCTTGCTTGACATTCATGGTGTAACTTTATCTACAGGTACAAATGTACTAAGGGCTAAAAGTGAAGCTTTGTTTATGAAGCAAATTTCAAAGGGTCCACAACAAACAATAAAAGCTTTAATTGTGGCTAGGCCTGAATTATCATTAATAAAATTTACTTGAACATTTTTTGAAGGGGATACTGACTATCCAAATGGAATTTTCCTCATACCAGTACTGAGATATTGAGTGAATGTAGCGTCAGGATTTAATACAAATGCTAATGCTAATATGTAATATAAAAGACAGTTACTGCTTAAAATCTAGTTTTTTTTAAATGGTTTACCTGGCATACATAATTCTATGGAATGAAATCGAAATAATTTAGAATGATGTTGTGCCACACATGAGACCAAAATGCAGGTGAGACTATCATTACAATGTAAAGGACATTAACTGTCTACAAAAATCCTAAATGTCTTACCTGAGATGCATATGATAAGCAAATACAATGAAGCAATCAGAGCAGCATATACAAGTATATATACATCTTGATCATTTTTAAATGCATTATCATGACAAAGCTAAAGTTGGAAGACGGGTTTGTCGCATTCAATGTCAGGGATGCCAGTTTTCAGGCGATAGTCAAAATTTAGGCCCTGGCAAGTTATTTTCAGACCATATTTTAGGCTTTTTTGTGTAATTAGCTCATTCTAGGTGATTTTCAGGCCCTCTGATCAATCTTAACTCTTAAGTTGCCACCCATACAATGCTCTCAGTGCCGCAGTGCTAATCCCTATTGTGCCAGCCACATATCTCCTGTGTGCCAAGTTAATTTTAAGGTTGGTTCAAGTGCGTGTTATTTAAATCTTTACAAAAAACAAATCGCTAAATTACTCGAGAAAATCCAATCTGACTGTTGTATACAAAGACGCGTAATCCAAAGCCCATAATCTGATGCATGTGATGGTACTTTCAATAGCGCTGCAAAAGCACTCAGCACGGTGCAATGGGCATGAACAATGACTGTTATTACATAGGCTTGCTAGCGTGCACAAAGCAGAGTAGCAGTGGCTCGCTAGCATGAACGTAGCAATCAATCGATACCGCGCTCGCGTGCACAGAGCACTTTAACAATAGCGCGCTAGCAGTCTCATGGCAGGATATGAGTTAACTGGCATCTCTGCAATGTGCTTGGAAACAGTCCTACACAGTCTTACATGCAGATCAGCTCAAGTATAAATCTAATAGGATCTGATCAAAGCCAGGTTAAACACAATAAAAAACTACTGTAAAACAATACTTTTCTTTCACTAACAATACTTCAGGCAGGGCTCGACGCTAACGGGCCCCTGGGACACATAGGTGCCCAAATTCTCTGTCCGAACCCCCCATTTCCCCACTCTTAAACATAGGGCTTTTGTCTATAGACACACAAACAAAAAATCTAGGCCCCCCTACAGAAAAGTAATTGTGAAGCCCTGTCTTAATATCTCGCTAAAGTAATCATATTTTGGGAGTTACATGTGCACTCAAAAGACCTGTTTTCACATAACAATTAGTGCGATTTTGATCGTGATGCAAAGATTGATTTTGTTTTGGCAACCATTCCTACAGGGAGAATTCTCGCTTGACAGCGAGATCGTCCGAACTGTGCACGCGTGAATCTCGACGATGTATTCGTGCTTGGAATCCTGATGGGATTAAATAAATTGATTTTTGGATTCTCATTACCATTCACACACACAGTGCCCTGTAAGCTATTGCGATTATTCTGGTTTTGAACCCAGAACCTACAAGTTAAAGCACTACTGCACTGACTTGGTTTTGAACCCAGAACCTACAAGTTAATGCACTACTGCACTGACTTGGTTTTGAACCCAGAATCTACAAGTTAAAGCACTACTGCACTGACCTGGTTTTGAACCCAGAACCTACAAGTTAATGCACTACTGCACTGACTTGGTTTTGAACCCAGAACCTACAAGTTAAAGCACTACTGCACTGACCTGGTTTTGAACCCAGAACCTACAAGTTAATGCACTACTGCACTGACTTGGTTTTGAACCCAGAACCTACAAGTTAAAGCACTACTGCACTGACCTGGCTTTGAACCCAGAACCTACAAGTTAATGCACTACTGCACTGACCTGGTTTTGAACTCAGAACCTACAAGTTAAAGCACTACTGCACTGACTTGGTTTTGAACCCAGAACCTACAAGTTAATGCACTACTGCACTGACCTGGTTTTGAACTCAGAACCTACAAGTTAAAGCACTACTGCACTGACTTGGTTTTGAACCCAGAACCTACAAGTTAATGCACTACTGCACTGACCTGGTTTTGAACCCAGAACCTACAAGTTAAAGCACTACTGCAGTGATTTGGTTTTGAACCCAGAACCTATAAGTTAATGCACTACTGCACTGACTTGGTTTTGAACCCAGAACCTACAAGTTAATGCACTACTGCACTGACTTGGTTTTGAACTCAGAACCTACAAGTTAATGCACTACTGCACTGACCTGGTTTTGAACCCAGAACCTACAAGTTAAAGCACTACTGCACTGACTTGTTTTGAACCCAGAACCTACAAGTTAATGCACTACTGCACTGACTTGTTTTGAACCCAGAACCTACAAGTTAATGCACTACTGCACTGACCTGGTTTTGAACCCAGAACCTACAAGTTAAAGCACTACTGCACTGACCTGGTTTTGAACCCAGAACCTACAAGTTAAAGCACTACTGCACTGACTTGTTTTGAACCCAGAACCTACAAGTTAATGCACTACTGCACTGACTTGTTTTGAACCCAGAACCTACAAGTTAATGCACTACTGCACTGACTTGTTTTGAACCCAGAACCTACAAGTTAATGCACTACTGCACTGACCTGGTTTTGAACCCAGAACCTACAAGTTAAAGCACTACTGCACTGACCTGGTTTTGAACCCAGAACCTACAAGTTAAAGCACTACTGCACTGACTTGTTTTGAACCCAGAACCTACAAGTTAATGCACTACTGCACTGACCTGGCTTTGAACCCAGAACCTACAAGTCAATGCACTACTGCACTGACCTGGCTTTGAACCCAGAACCTACAAGTTAATGCACTGACTTGGTTTTGAACCCAGAACCTACAAGTTGCATTGTTGCAAGAACATTGCACTATCCATGTTTGAGTTTGCATTCAAAATGTTACCCATTAATTTTGAGAAGCTGTTTGAAATAATGTTTTCCCTATTCTTTTGTCATCTGACTAGGTCATGTGTATCTCAGCATTTATCGCAAGGCACCTGCTACCAAGTCTGATTTTAAGAAACGCTATGAACTCACCGACAGCAATTTCATTGGTACAGAGAGAGGGACTATTAAAATGCATCATGAAAAACGCAGTATGCTCTACTGGGCTATCGTCTTGAAACACGAATCCATTCTTTTCAACGATAAAGAAGCAATGGTCAAGTCAACATCACAATTTGAAAAATGGAATGAAGTAGTCAAGAAACTATGGAACCATCGTAAGTCCAATTGCCTTAATTCTGTTTATTTCTACAGGTTAAACACATTGTTAAAAAAAGATTGTGCCCCCTCTCTCCCCATTCCTTAACTTGTATTGACAGTGCTTGATGACATAAATCATCCAGTTTGTCGTGTATTTTATACAATCGTCCACTAGTTCAGTAATTTATCATTTAGCACATGAGGGGGGGGGGGGGGTAGGGGGCTGACTCCTAAGTGGCTAAAATATTTGAAAACCTGGAGAATTCACTATTGCTATGAATACTGACTATGGTATGAGCCTGGTACAGAATGCAAGGATAATATTAAAAATCAGATGGATACAATGAATTTTTCACCTCCCCTTTTCTTATATTAGAGGCCTAAATCTTTTTTCTTAAAAGAGAAAGTATAGGCCTGCGTGTACTTTGCCACCTCACAACCTATATCAATGAAATGTTATGAAAATATTGTGTTAGTCGTATCAAATCTTACTCATTGCTGAATTCTTTAATTAATATCTAGAATTTCATTATTGTGATGATAGTATTTTGTTAATTCATGAATTCATTAATTTATCCAGCATAATTATGATTGGGCCGATGAATGTTCCATAATCCATTTGAAGATATGCAGAAATAAAGCAAGAGGGATTTCCTTTTGTACACTACAACCCTTCTACCATGAGGAGGAGTCCCATGTTGAACATGTTTTGAAGATGCCAATGTTGATATAGCAATTCTGCTAGGTCAATTTGCTTATTTATGGGTTTTCCAATAAATTGACTATATTACTCTGCTCCAGGATGAAGTCAAGGCCCAGGTAATCAGGAGAGTCATGTACTGTGCATTGAAATTCAAAATATGGTCACCTTTGTATTATTCCACAAAGATGTATGTTTTAAAAATTCATTTTTAAATTATTTATTTTGTTTTCTTCTTTCAAAATGTCGGGAATAAACGTCTGTTGCCTTATTGACTCTACAGAAAGTTGGGAGGTATCTCCATTAAAAGGCTCGACTATAGAGAACTATTCCAAGCTCGTCTTACATCTCAATACATCCAGTCTGTGCCTAGCCCTGCTCAGTCCTCCCAGACACTTATTACGTTGGCCTCTTACCAGCATCAATGACTTTGACTGCCATGAATGTGTCTTCAGTTTCAATGTCATTGGTAATGACGCACCAGGTAATCAAAACTATTCTATCTACTCTAATTTCAATTCTTTATCTTAATGACGATGAGATATTGCATCACAAGGAGGGAGTCCGATCAGACACACCGGGGTTCCTTTAACAAGAAAGAAGAGCGAGAAAATATCCAATATTAGCCTTAAATGACTACCATGAAGAACACATTTTGATATCAGGTGGGAGATGACTCCATAACATGGGCCCGTACTCGTTTAGTAAGAAAGAAAGAAAGATGTCTTAGCTAAGGGTATATAAAAACTACTTGCATTTCTTGTAGCAAATGAATGGATATAGAAGAGTTCAGTATAAAAAGGTCATCATAGACAGGTGGCAAGTTATTATGTTTGTACTGGAACATGAATTGACCAAGCTGTGTAACATTTACCTGTAGAATACCTGTAGGTGTTGTGGGCTAGTAGATAAGTCATCGGACTGTGGATCACAGGGTTGGCGGTTCAAGTCTCGCCACGGCACTAATGTCCTTTGGCAAGATATTAATATATATTTGCCACTCTCCACCCAGGTGATAAATGGGTACAGGTAGGAAGCAATTATTTGAATGCTGTGAGTGCCAAAATTGGCTGCCTAGCAGTGCTGGGGTGATAGTTGAAGCGCCTTGAGCACCATGCATGGTGGATAAGTGCGCTATATAAATATCCAATATTATTATTATTATTATGAATTAAGTGTCCAAAATCATATGTGAATGATGTGAGTGAAAGTCTCCCCCACCCATTGTGAAATTGTGAAAATAATTTGGCCATCTTTTCACTTAACGGTCATAAGTACAAGTTCACTGATACCTCATTGCAATGTATGTTAAATGTAATACGCTTGTTGGTTGGGTTGTCTGCGAACTTGGAGTTATGATAGTTTTGTGAAACACTGCCCTGACACTGTATATCCCATAGTGTGCGTTTCATGTATCCACCTGAATATGGAACACAAACTTTCAGAGACCTATCTTTGTTTGTTTATTTGTTAGGTTACTATGAAGTGAAGGTGACTCGATCTAAGCATGCTTCTAAGATCAAGATGGTTTGCAATGAATTAAGACAAGTTTACAATGGTAAGTCACACATTTAACTCATCATTATGGGCCAGATCACCCTTTTTAGTTTGCTCTGAATGTTCTGAGTACAACTTTTTTCGAAAATGACATTGAAATTTGATGGACTAAGATCTACCTACCACTCCTGTATACACAATGGCATGCTATCAAAAGCACGCAAATCATGCATCCTTGATACGATGTGGGACAAAATATGCACCCCAATTCGCACAGCCTTGAAATGCGCGTAGCGCTGATGAATTTAAAAATAACTCAAAGTCTGTTTTATTCAAACTTCGGCCATAATGCCCAAAAAACTGGAACGAAAATAAAGTCAATGAACTATTTCAGGAAACATCCTCATTCGTATGCTTTTAAAAATATCATGATTGATATACAAAAATTGAGATGAAGAGTTTATAATCAGTTTTCTAAAACCTTACACCAAAACATCAATTTTCATGATTTTGGCCGAAATTATGGTCCATTAAAATTTGAATATACGTCAAGTTATCTTCAATGATTATTTGAAAACTATGTATCAAATTGGCATTGGCAATATGAATATTCATTTGAGGGTAGTTATACTTTCCTTCCCTATTTTTACTTGTATTTGATTGGTTGGATGGTAAAGAATGAGATAATTATATTAGCATAATGTTTTGATTGGCTTTGTTTTTTAATTATTTTTGAGTGACGTTGTAGCTAGCAAGTATGGCACAGCCCACCAAGCGCACACAAGCACTGTACGTGTTCCATGTCCTCTGGATTCACACCAGGGGGTTCTCCCTCAATGCTCACATTGCTTTACCTAATAGACATTGTACTTCCAAAAATATACATGTGTACCCTTTTTGGGATGTATTCCTGCCAGCACCTTGACCTAAAACGTGATGATGTGCTTTGATCTATGATGATCCATGTTGCGATCCTCTAACATGTGAAGCCTGCTTTAGATAGAAGGACAATGACGAATATAATATATATTGAAGTACAGTCACAGACATATAGCATCTATATTTCAATGTGAAATTGTCCCTGTTATTACATAATATAATGTTTTATTGCAGGTGAGAATAGGGAGCCTTCCATTCCAACTACTCATGGATTCTGCACCGTCCCAGCTGAAAAACACATGACGGAGAGTAAACCAGCAGCTAGGGATCCCTTGGCATTACATCATCATAACAGCAATGCAAGCATATGTAGTACACATTCATTGAACCCAGAGAGAAACCTAGATAGGAACCCAGAGAGGAACCCAGAGAGGAACCCAGAGAGGAACCCAGAGAGGAACCTAGAGAGGGATACTGCTAGTGTTGGAAGCTTTGATTCAGCAATGTCTACACCCTCCCCTACTCCTCTGAAAGAAGTGATCTCAATAAATCCTTTTGTGTTCCCGCCAGATGGAGTAGTAGGTGATACTGTATCCCAGAGTCTAAGTCCTATGAATAAACCTGTTAGCAAGCCCAGGACACCTATCCCCAGTTCTCCATACCATGTTGCTTGTGTAGATCCTCACACACACAGTATGCATGTGAGTTCAATCAGTACTCATCCTCATCATCATCTCAGACCAACTACACCAGATCTATTATCCTCTACTTCCGCTCAAGAGAGAAATACTTTGGGGTGTAGGTTACCAAAACGAACCTCTGATGAGGGTTTCTGTGAGGAAAGAGATTCTAAGCAGAAGGGAGAGGCACGCAATGAAGCCACATATATGAACACACATGATAACACTAATATTGTCAACTTTGAGACAGAGCCCAAGGAACATAATAATTATGAGAACTTTGTTGAACACAGCCACTATGTGAACCCCATCATCAAGAAGAAGCATGAAGGGGACAATATTGGACCTAAAGTTGCTCCCAAGCCACAGCCTCCAAACCTTCCCCCAAGAAAGAGAGAGGTGAATAACCATTTTATTTTTACAATTATTATTATACATACGAGCCTCTTTTCCAAAAGAATAAAACCATTTCTATAATGCCCTTTGTTTGGTCGATTTCATTATCATTAGCATATTGCTTTTCCTCTGTATTTTATTTTATGTCACTCAATAATCGATATTGAACAAAGGACCCAACAAACTAGATGGAACTTCGACTGCGCGCAGTCGAAAATGATGCCTCCGTCATAGAGCAATTTTAGAAACCAAAACAGAAGAAATTTTTAAAATTCCAGTTCAATTGTAATCCATTAACAGGTTCTCAGCATATCGTGATTACAAGCAATTTCTCATATACATATATGACCCTTTGATCTTTGACCTCATGACCCTAAAATCTACTCAGTTCATTGGCTCTGCAAGATGTCCCAAGTTAAATAGTAATCCATCTGTCAGTTCTAATGAGAATGCTTTCACAAGCTATTTTTGCATACATAATGAGCCAATGACCTTTGACCTTTGACCTTATGAACCAAGAATCTACTCAGTTTATTGGCTCTGTAAGATACATAAATGAAGTTTGGCAGGAATCCATCAATCTGTTCTAATGATTGTAAGATCACAAGCTATTTTTTGCATACATAATGTGCCCTGTGACCTTTGACCTTTGACCTCGTGACCCCAAAATCTAATCAGTTCATCGGCTCTGCAAGTAACATACATGACCTAAGTTTGGCAGGAATCCATCAATCGGTTCTTGAGATAACGCGATCACGAGCTGTTTTTGCATACATAATGAGTCCTGTGACCTTTGGCCTTTGACCTCGTGACCCCAAAATCTAATCAGTTCATTGGCTCTGCAAGATACATACATGACCAAAGTTTGGCAGGAATTCATCAATCGGTTCTTCAGATAACGCGATCACGAGCTGTTTTTGCATACATAATGAGTCCTGTGACCTTTGGCCTTTGACCTCGTGACCCCAAAATCTAATCAGTTCATTGGCTCTGCAAGATACATACATGACCAAAGTTTGGCAGGAATTCATCAATCGGTTCTTCAGATAACGCGATCACGAGAACGGGACGTACGTATGTACAGATGTACGGACGGACAACCCGAAAACATAATGACTCCGGCTACTTCGTAACGGAGGCATAAAAAGGGAACCTACAAAGGGAAATCTCAAAGCCAAAATATTCAATTTTTAGGCATTGGTATATACATGTATATACCCCTTCATTGTGATTACATTATGAGGATGATTTCAATATTTGTTTCTTTATTTACATGTTATGAAATACTCCTAAAGCATCATACTTTGCAGTTGTGTGTGATGGTCTGAATATTTTTTGCAAGCAAGCAAACCAAGTGAGCAAAAATGGTAAGATTTGTGAGGTCACAGTGCGAAAACACATTTTTATGCCTCCGTTACGAAGTAGCCGGCATTATGTTTTCTGGTTGTCCGTCCGTCCGTCCGTCCGTACGTCCCGTTCTCGTGATCGTGTTATCTGAAGAACCGATTGATGGATTCCTGCCAAACTTTGGTCATGTATATATCTTGCAGAGCCGATGAACTGATTAGAATTTGGGTCACGAGGTCAAAGGTCAAAGGTCACAGGGCTCATTATGTATGCAAAAACAGCTCGTGATCGCGTTATCCAAAGAACCGATTGATGGATTCCTGCCAAACTTTGGTCATGTATGTATCTTGCAGAGCCAATGAACTGATTAGATTTTGGGGTCACGAGGTCAAAGGTCAAAGGTCACAGGGCTCATTATGTATGCAAAAACAGCTCGTGATCGCGTTATCCGAAGAACCGATTGATGGATTCCTGCCAAACTTTGGTCATGTATGTATCTTGCAGAGCCAATGAACTGAATAGATTTTGGGATCACGAAGTCAAAGGTCAAAGGTCACAGGGCTCATTATGTATGCAAAAACTGCTCGTGATTGCGTTATCTCAAGAACCGATTGAAGGATTCCTGCCAAACTTAGGTCATGTATGTTACTTGCGAAGCCGATGAACTGATTAGATTTTGGGGTCATGAGGTCAAGGTCAAAGGTCATGTGGCTCATTATGTATGCAAAAACAGCTCGTGATCGCGTTATCCGAAGAACCGATTGATGGATTCTTGCCAAACTTTGGTCATGTATGTATCTTGCAGAGCCGATGAACTGAATAGATTTTGGGGTCACGAGGTCAAAGGTCACAGGGCTCATTATGTATGCAAAAACAGCTCGTGATCGCGTTATCCGAAGAACCGATTGAAGGATTCCTGCCAAACTTAGGTCATGTATGTTACTTGCGAAGCCGATGAACTGATTAGATTTTGGGGTCACGAGGTCAAGGTCAAAGGTCATGTGGCTCATTATGTATGCAAAAATAGCTTGTGATCGCATTATCATTAGAACAGATTGATGGATTCCTGCCAAACTTAGATCATGTATGCATCTTGCAGAGCCTATGAACTGAGCAGATTCTTTGGTCATGAGGTCAAAGGTCAAAGGTCATGGGCTCATTATGTATGCAAAAATAGCTTGTGAACACATTCTCATTAGAACTGACAGATGGATTACTATTTAACTTGGGACATCTTGCAGAGCCAATGAACTGAGTAGATGTTAGGGTCATGAGGTCAAAGATCAAAGGGTCATATATGTATATGAGAAATTGCTTGTAATCACAATATTCTGAGAACCTGTTAATGGATTACAATTGAACTTGAATTTGAAAAATTTTCTTCTGTTTTGGTTTGTATATTGCTCTATGACGGAGGCATCATTTCGACTGCGCGCAGTCGAAGTTCCATCTAGTATAAAGATGAAAAAGACAATCCTGATACAGTTATAAGCACAATCCAATTATGAAAGACTGAAAGACCTTAATAAGAAACAATCAAAAGCTGGTCAATGGGCCTTAAAGGGAAGAACAAATTCACCCAATCTCTAGGGATCGGGGGTCAATCTCAACCCACGTTTTGAAGGACATTATGTCATTTTTTTGTGTTTTGCAATTGATCCATTTTTACAAAGTTTTAAAGCATGGGGTAGGTGGGGTGAAATTGACCTGACTTTCGGGTCTAGTTAGGGACCTCTGGGACTGGTCATGCCAGCTTACAACCTTTTTGTTAGTGACTAGATAATCTTATTATCTTTAAGGGTTCAAATTGTATGGTTGAATTGGGGTGACTATTTCAGGACAGACTCTTTGCTTACAAAACATGGAATAGAAATGTATGAGTGAAATCAAGGAGTATTAAGAGATGGAGTCATATCTTGCTCATTCCCTTTGTACGTTCTTCAATGCCACCAGGAGAAAATATGTCAGGCATGTGCTTAACTGGATCTTTATGCAGATACATAGACAACAGATTCCTGCCTAGCTGCAAACTAACGGGCCACTTTCAAAGGGAAAAATGCCTTTGTAATGATAATTATTTTTCGCTACCCCTCGTCTGATAATACGAACAGTATGCAGTGCTTAACTTTACAGGAGACAAGCGAAAGGAAATTGAGCAAAATTTCCTGAAATATTAATCAAAATTACTCGACTGGGCATGCGAGGGCACTAATCTGACATCATAAAGGACTGTACTTGATGTAATCTACTCTTTATTTTCGTGTAATCAGAAAAGTGTCAAATGGCAGATTTTTAGGAATGTAAAATTGTGCTTTTTTCACAAATTAAAACTGCTATTATACAATGTAAGCGAATTTCTTGACACGATTAGGCTTTTGTATTCATATTTTATCATCTGTTTGATTTTTGTTAGTTCAAATAAAAAGTAAAATATTAATGATATTTTTTTTGGTGAAAAAATCACTACTCAAGCTTTGTAATGATGTTGTTTGCTTCAAAGGTACCAGCACATCTGTAGATTCTATTGTGCAACCTTAGAAAACGGCAGCTGCTTGAAATAATGTGTTGCCAGTTGGGACTCCAGCTCTTAAAACTCCTTGGTGAAACAAAACAATTTTTGTACTCTCACATTAATTGATTTTTTGCGATGTTTTACAGCTACATCAACTGATAGAGCTAGCTAAGATGGGTAAGCCCCTGGTAAGGGATTTCATTCAACCAAACAGTGCCTGGACAAAATTCTGTCTTCACTTTGACGTCAAGAAAATGTCATATCCTCTCAAAGATTGGAGAGCTCTTGCTGAAAGAGTTGGTAAGTAACTAAGTATTCCATTTTGAACATTTAACATACTACTACTACTACTACTATAAGTACAGCCACTACTACCACTACTACTTCTATTACTACTACTACTACTAGTACTATTACTACTACGACTACTACTAGTACTATTACTACTACTACTACTACTACTACTACTACTACTAGTACTATAAGTACAGCCACTACTACCACTACTACTTCTATTACTACTACTACTACTAGTACTATTACTACTACTACTACTACTACTACTATTACTACTACTACTACTACAACTACTACTACTATAAATACAGCCACTACTACCACTACTACTTCTATTACTACTACTACTACTACTACTACTACTATAAGTACAGCCACTACTACCACTACTACTTGTATTACTACTACTACTACTACTACTACTACTATAAGTACAGCCACTACTACCACTACTACTTCTATTACTACTACTACTAGTACTACTACTACTACTACTACTACTACTATAAATACAGCCACTACTACCACTACTACTTCTATTACTACTACTACTACTACTACTACTACTACCACTACCTTCTCTAATACTACTCGCACAGCTACAACAACTACTACTAACTACTACTACCACCATTACTACTCCTACAACTACTACCACAACCACTACCTCCTGTACTTCTACTACCACAACCACAACCTCCTCTACTTCTACTACCACAACTACTACCACAACCACTACCTCCTCTACTTCTACTACCACAACTACTACCACAACCTCTACCTCCACTACTACTACTACCACAACCACTACCTCCACTACTTCTACTACCACAACTACTACCACAACCACTACCTCCACTACTACTACTACCACAACTACTACCTCCACTACTTCTACTACCACAGCTACTACCACAACCACTACCTCCACTACTACTACTACCACAACCACTACCTCCACTACTTCTACTACCACAACCACTACCTCCACTACTTCTACTACCACAACCACTACCTCCACTACTTCTGCTACCACAACTTCTACTACCACAACTACTACCACAACCACTACCTCCACTACTACTACTACCACAACCACTACCTCCACTACTTCTACTACTTCTACTACCACAACCATTACCTCCACTACTACTACTACCACAACCACTACCTCCACTACTTCTACTACCACAACCACTACCTCCACTACTTCTACTACCACAACCACTACCTCCACTACTTCTACTACCACAACTATTACTACTACTACTACTACTAACTACTACTACTACTACTGTATTTGCCGGCATAAAGGCCGCAGTATTTTCGGATGAAAAAATATCCAAAAGTCTGGCTGCAGCCTTTGCGCAACAACTAAAAATTCAGCGGTCGAAACAGCACGTCCACTGGTACATATGGGACTACAATGACTATATAATGTTACAGGACATTTCTAGAATAACTCCGCACATCTTACCGCCAATTTTATGTTGCATTGTTGACATGAAGACGAAAATAAACTGCAACTTATTTTATAAACAAAATCTACAGGTAGAGCTCGATCTTAGTCTGTACCTGCCATTGCATCGCCAAAAAGTAAAAGAAGGGACCGAATATGGAGCTGCCGTGCATGCATCGCAACTGCGAATCCGGCCGAAGTCGCAACTTCGTATTACACTACACATCGTAGTAGGGGTATTTGTAGGATACCAAATCTGCCTGCGATACAGTACTAGCCTAGAAACGATGAAGATCTGCTAAATTACGATCATTTTTGAGGTAAACTTCCTGTAAATTTATAAGAATATTGATGAATTTGGTATCGGTTTGTAGAAAAAAATAGTGTTCTTCAAGAAAATTAAGATTATTTTGTTTGGTCTGTTGTTGGTGTTTTTTCCTTCTTTTTTACCTCTACGAAATGTCAAAGTTGGGGGTGCGGCCTTATCGCCGGCAAATACGGTAGTACTACTACTACTACTACTACTACTACTACCACCACTACAACCACCACTTTTACTAATTCTACAACTCAACTACAACAGCCACTACTACAGCTACCACTACTACTACAATTTTCCTTAAATTCTGTCATCTTGATCTTTATTCCTCTTACATCTCTTCACAGTATTACTCCAGTCAGGACTTCAATCCTTCTATCTTGACATTACTTTAAAGGAAACCTCACCTCAAGACATATTTTTAGTTATTCTGAGAGGTTTATTGTATTCTTGCCCAGTAGTCTGTCAGACTTGACACTCCTGAAGCTCCACATAATAATCCTGGCTTTAGCATGGCTGGCATCATGGTGCTCTAGAATTCCAAGGAATTAATTCCAGCCAGGTACCCTCACCTGGGTTGAGTGTGGCAAATATAGATTAATGTCTGGCCAAAGGACAGTCGTGCAATGGAGGGACTTGAATCGCGGACCATGCGATCTACACTCAATTTACAAGATTTCCCACCAAAGTATATAAAAGAGGTATAAAGCAAGATATTCTCAGCTCAATGTACAGTTTCTCAGCACAATGTGGGCATCACAATTTTCTTCATTACTAGAAATACTATGCCAAATCGTTTATCAAGTTTAATGTATCCAAATTTATGGATTCTTCCTTCCCATGCATGTGTGGTGATGAAGTATGCCATTGACCTACTATTATCTTCTGTACTATAATTGTCAGAACATAAATTGCATTTTAAAATAAAGTTCTCGCTTGTCTGGGGTAAAGATTTTCCGGAAATGAAATGGGTTTGTCAACTGCTATCATTGCTGTTTGTTAGTATTTCTAAATTTCCAACTAAGCTTGGTGCATGATACATGTACAAGTTTGCCTGATGTCATGCGAAAAGGCATTACATCAGGCCAGGAATATCTTCATTATATATCTCTTGTACATCTTTCTAAGGAATATTGTTCATCAAAGGGAAGGAATAAATGTGGAAGCAGTGACTACCGGTACCTCTTCAGTAAGTGTGTACCAGTCATTGTTGACTTGTTGGCCGAATCAGGGAGGTGATAAAGAAGGAGTGGAAACTCTTGTAATTTATTCAAACGCATGTGTGAGTTCTAAAGCGTAACAATGGGATGTGTAACATTTCACTTGGCTTTGAAGTTCCATGCTCCGATCCGCTCTTCCACTGCAGGGAATTTCGGAGGCCAGGCACCACTCTTACATTTATTATAAAATATTAAATTACTGGCAAAATTTCAGTGTAAATTATAAATTTTATATTGGGATTGAATTGGTAATAGTGCATTAAACAATTTTTCAAGTTAAGTACTCCTCCCTTCCTTTGTGTGCCAGAGTTGGTAAAAGAAAAATTAGATCCTGACAAAACCTAAATATTTGAGGATAATGCGCTTATTTTTGCATGTTTTAATGTCCTGTCATTTAATCCATGATTTAGAATCTTTGATAAATTTAAGTTTGCTAACGCGTGTTTTTTTAATATTTTTGCAGTTGGAAAAAAAGGATGAAGTTTCTCAAGCTTTTGTTCGCGTGTTCTACTCATTACACATCCAATAATTGATGATAAATCATTGAAAGAAACAGCGAACGTTTGCTGGGATACCATTTTCTGATCGGAATTCTAAATCCTGATATGTCATGCGCTCTTTTATCTCAGCACCTGGTCAACAGTTGCAGATTAGCGCATAACTTTTTGGTGGCTTGGAGCAAAGGGTCAAAGGAGAGCGACTTGATTCCACTCCTTTTTTATCACCTCCCTGGCTGAATGCATCTTGCCTAATCTTTGTTGAGCGTCTGTGTTTCGTAAGCTTCAGACGTTTGCCTCTTGTGTTGCCAGTCAAGTATTCGAAGAAGGAATCGATTGGGATGCGTTCAAGTCCATGTATGATTTTGAAGACCTGGATCATGTTGCCTTGCCGTCTGCGGTATTTGAGGGAGGGACGGTTGAGTGGCCGAACTCTCTCTCTGTACGGATGGTTGCGGTTGTCATAAATATATTTTGGTGGCTCTCTTCTGCACCTTGTCTATGGTTTTGGAGTCTGTCTTGAAGCGAGGATGCCATATGGAATCTCCGTAATTTATGTGAGGTCTGACAAGGCCTTTGTACAACTTTGGGATTGTGGACCTGTCTCTGCACTCGAAACTGCGACGGATGCATGAGAGTCCTCCTTCGGCTTTCTTGACAGCATATGCAACATGGTTATGCCAAGATCTTTCTCCTCTTATGTAAGGTCAAGGACATCATCTCCAAGGGCATAAGGTGTGTTTGACATTACCTGGGCCTATGTGTAGGACTTCGCACTTTTGTGTGCTGAAGTTCAATTGCCATGTATTACTTCAACCCCCTAGTGCATCAAGGTCAGATTGGATTGGATGGAGGCTTTGCTAAAGAGTTTGGGTTTTAACATGTATACGTACTTTTCTTTTCATGGTTATTCTTATTGTTTAATTGACAGGATTGACAATGAGTGACATTGACTTGGTGGAAGACACAGGTTGTCGGACTGGGAAGTGTACATCTACAGAAATAGTGCTAGCATACTGGCAGTCTAATGCTCGAGATGATATGCCTTTCACCCAGGATCAGCTGGTAGATGAGCTCTACATGATGGAACGTTATGATCTCGTCACAATTCTTCAACCAGGAGAACAGCATACGTGAAAGATTAAACAGTATGTTGGAGGATATATGGATGAGTATGGGATGGGATGAAAATATCCTGAAACTTTATAACTTGTTTCTACTTCAATCAAACCTCATTTCAATATAAAAGTAAATTTTCATCAATATTTTGCAACAAATAAATACAGTGCCTGGTGAGATACAATTGATTGCAGTAGAATAAGTTTTTCTTATTGATTGAAAAATGAATTCATATGTCTCAGGGCCCAGGGATGGTATTCTGAAAATTGTTGTATCTTGATTATTGTTGTATGTTCAGGTTTAAACAGAATTTGGTAATATTAAAATTATTGGAAATGTTGTTCTACCTTTTCTACTGTTTCTTTACCTAGAACTAAAGAATTGCATAGCAAATGTGTGTTATTGTTAAACTGATAAAATGGACAAATGGTGCATAATCTCAATTACTATAATGTGCACAATTTATTAGCAAGAGATAATAATTAATTGGTATTCTCAAATTGTGTTACCTTTCGTTGTATCTTTTCTGCCATGGTATTCAAACAGCTAAAGACTGTTGTATCTCATGTTTGATGCTTGTGCCCCTTTCCATATCCCCCTCCTTCAGTCATTGAAAGTAAACCCTCAATGTCCCATTGTGCTAATAGAACATACATTTAGGACCAAAGCTATGTAGAATTAAAAATACAGAAGTGCCCCTTTGAGTGATTGTGCAGAACAGAAAATGGAAATGATGTCAACTCAATGGTTCACATTAATGTGTTCTATGCCCATTGCCCGATGCTCAGTAGAAAAGTACAGGTGACCATACATGTATGACCAATTTGATTAGGTAATTCACGATGAATTCTTTAAACTGAGTTTAGTGTAACTGAGTTGAATGTAACTGAGCTGAATGAAACTGAGCTGAATGAAACTGAGCTGAATGTAACTGAGCTGAATGTAACTGAGCTGAATGAAACTGAGCTGAATGTAACTGAGCTGAATGTTACTGAGCTGAATGTAACTGAGCTGAATGTTACTGAGCTGAATGTAACTGAGCTGAATGTAACTGAGCTGAATGTAACTGAGCTGAATGTAACTGAGCTGAATGAAACTGAGCTGAATGTAACTGAGCTGAATGTAACTGAGCTGAATGTAACTGAGCTGAATGTAACTGAGCTGAATTTAACTGTACCTATGAAAACTGTCATAGACATGTGCAATGTACACAAAAAAAAAAAAAATTATTTAATTTTATTTTTGTTGTTCTTGGAAATGCTATAATCATGCAAGTTCTAATGCTGACAATTGTAATAATGGACAATTTATGTCCTGAAACATATCAATGTTTGGTACTGAAAAAAATCTAAATAACTGACAACCATTTGATACATCTAAGAGGTATGTCTTTTCATGATGGGTTTTTTTTGTGGGGGGATATTCACAATTTCTACATTCATGTACTTTTACCTGCTATTACATCATCATCTATCCTTATATCTTTTTGAAAGATTCTTATGTCTTCTCTTTGCATATTTGCGAACAGTTCTCACACATTTCTACTTGTAATGCAAATCTAGGTGAAATATTTAAGATATGTGTACTGGTATGCCATTGTGTACTGCAGCTGATGTAGTCCATAGTCATTTGTATGATTCATCAATGTGGGATACAAGAAATGATCCTAGATTTTAGTTGCGACACACATAGTGCTACTGTTCTATTCTAGATTAACTTCTGAAATTGAAATTCACAAGGTTTATAGATAAAGATTCAAAATCACAGCTGAAAGCTGATACATGTTCAAGTACATCTTTAATTTACAAATAAGAATACAACATATAAAGTACATGTGCATTGTGAAGTAAGAAAATATATTGTAACATTGTAGTATAATTGATATATGAAGAAAAGGAGAGGAAGGAGTATGAGAAGAAGAGTCTACCAATGAAACACTTTATAACAAATTATATTTATATAGACAAAAGCTGTTACATGTACATGTATATTTTTATATACGTATGGCTCAATGGAAGTGTGATTACAGAGATTGCATATTTTAGATTGATTTGATATATGTTGAAAAAACAGGGTTGATTGTTGAACAGTTACTGATAAAACTATGTTTTGCCTAGATGTTCATCTTAATCAAGCATACTTAATTAATTCACCAGTAAAATGCTTGTGTAAAATGTTAGCTCTGTCTTTCCCACCTCCATTTTACTTGGTTTAAGGAAATGTATTATTTTAATCTCCCTGTGCATTTTAAAGGCTGTCTTTTTCTTGGTTAACATTTGGAAAAATACTATTCTCAAATACAGTGTATATTATTATCATATTATGTTTATCCTTGAAATTTTAAAGACTGGTTACCATTTGGAAATATTTATACTGTTTTCTAAGTGCTATAGATAACATTACGCTTATACTGATATTATGAGAGGCTCCGTGTACTGAAGGTGCTGACATTTTTGTTGATATGTTAGAAATATGCTTTCTGCTAAAGCATTATTGGAGTTTTGTGCACTTTATCAAGATGTAACGGGCTGAAGGGTGAAAGGGAAAACCATTGTAATGAAGTCATTTTAATACAAGCAGAAATATCAGAGAAACAATGGCGGAAGTTTGAAATTAAATCGGACCAAAAGTCCTACATTTTTAATTTTTTAATTTTTAAAAGTCATTTTGTCTGTTGAAACAAATGGTTAAGTTTTCCGCCACTACATCACAGAGACATTACCAACTCAGCCAATTTGAAGAGCCCATATCGTAGCGATTACAATTTTCAAAAATTTGTAACATTCTTGTATTTTATCAAAATTTCATCAAAATTATGCTTCTCTGATGTTTCTCCTTTCTTCCAGAGTAGTTGGTTATCAATGTTGGATTTCCCTTTAAGTTTAATATAAGCATATTTTTGACTACCTTAAATAGTTACCATTATTATGTGAAGGGCAATCCAAACTTGTAAATCTTTCACTCATGTGAAAGCATAAAAAGTTGAATGGTAAAAGTTTGAAAGAAATCAGGCAAATACCCTGAAGAACTAAGAATGTAGTGAATGAAATCTCAAATTGACAATGCGGTGAGTGGATTATAATATATTCATGGTCAATTTGCCTGTTTGTATTGACAAAAATTTAAAAAAATAAAACATTTTGAAAGATGTGTATCCTCTTTGTCAGTGTGCTTCTCTGATTGTCTGCATTCTTTTAGAGCGAATCGCTATTACTGTAAAGCCACACTGTACTACTTGTAGCCATGATCCTCTTTTTCTTAACGTATGTTAATTGAGAGCTGAGTTAATGAGATAGCCACCTGTCAGTGACCTCGCTGTGTGGTCTAATCCCTTCTGGCTGAACTAGGACAGCCGGCCTTTAAGTTTGAATATCCTTTCAATAATAAAATGCACTGAAGCATTTTTTCTGAAATAAATTATTATCTTCTATATTTTGTGAATTTAATTCAATTTAAAGATATAAAGACTTATTGAGATGTAGAATCCCTTGCGGCCACTAAAAGACACATTCTGGAAGATGAATCACAAATGAGAAGTTTGAAAACGTCACTTAAAAGTGTTATTTTGTAGTATTACACATGAGTGAAAGGGAGAAAAGTATACTCTGTATGTGAGGAAGAGAAGAGAAAGAATGGGGAGAAATAAAGGAGGGGGGGGGGGGATGCTATCAAACAATATATGCTAAGTCTATTGTAGAATGTAAGAATAATGCAACATTTATGTTGTGAGAGTATTTTTCCTTATTGTAAAGAAATATTCTTCTTTTAATTATTTTTGTGGGGAGAGGGTATAAGGGGATCAATGATTGCTGCTTATAATAACTGTTGTTACTGTCATCTAAAAAGTCTGCTTTAGTCCTTCTCCTCTATAATATCTTGGAAGGATGTCCTCTCTGTGTACATCTTTGTAGAGCTGACATTGGTATAACACAAGGTATCACATCATTTGGACATTAATCTACAGTTGCCTGTCCAGGTGAAGTCTAAATAAATTCCATAGGATAATAAACATTTTACAGCAGCACATCTGTTTGTAGCCAGAAGGGCGTTGAATCATACACTTTAAAAGTACTATGTCCCATTTGCAGGCCAAAAAAGTGAAAGGTTAAATTCCAATGGCATTTGAAAGATAATACTAATTTAGAACTTCCCGGCTCCCCAAAAAGGAACTTGAAAATGTCTTTAAGTGGGGAAAAACGACTATTAGTTGTCGAATCGACTTAAGAGCTATAGAGTCAGTAAGTAATAGTCTGATTTTTCAGACCATTGTACCGAATGGTCGTACATTTTATGTTGCGCAAAGATTCAATTAGTTTAATTTTGGCCATTACAAGAAGTGGGTTATTGATGTAGACAAATGCTCATGTACCCTTTACATCTCATTTTATGTATGTTATTACGAAAGAAAAAAAAAAGCCAGTCAGTCACTCAATAGTGTCTGACAGTGAAGTCTAGCAAGTAAACGGGTTTCCTTGCATAATTTGAATATTAGGACACTGCTAACGTTTAAATTTCATAGATAGGACATACATGACATATTAATTTCCTGCAAAGTTCTACAGAATTTGACGTGGCTGCAAAAGGGACATAGTATCTTTAATCTAAATTTGTCACTCTCTACCCAGGTAATGTAAATGGTTAATTAAGGGTAATCAGAGTACAGTTAGCACTGAGCTGAGAAACGTTGGTATTAAGCGCTATATTATACAAATATACACTGTCTTGAGAGGTTCTGGTTAAAACTATGCGCAAGAGGTGACTCCAATAGTACTATTTGCTGAGGGGCGCAGCCCCGAAGCAAATTGTACTTTTGGAGTCATTGAGGCCCATAGTTTTAACCAGTACCTCGAATAGAAGACATGGTATATTTGTTTTATATCCTGTATAAAAATTTTTAAAAAAATTATGAAAAAAAACACCCCAAAAAACAAAACATTAGAACAAAAAAATGTCAATTTTTATCTAAAAAGATTCAAAATATTTTGTTTTCATTAGAATTAGGGTTAGGGGGGGGGGGGGGTTAGGGTTAGGGTTAGGGTTAGGGTTAGGGTTAGGGTTAGGGTTAGGGTTAGGGTTAGGGTTAGGGTTAGGGTTAGGGTTAGGGTTAGGGTTAGGGTTAGGGTTAGGGTTAGGGTTAGGGTTAGGGTTAGGGTTAGGGTTAGGGTTAGGGCTAGGGCTAGGGCTAGGGCTAGGGCTAGGGTTAGGGTTAGGGTTAGGGTTAGGGTTAGGGTTAGGGTTAGGGTTAGGGTTAGGGTTTGGTTAGGGTTAAGGGTTAGGGTTAGGGTTAGGGTTAGGGTTAGGGTTAGGGTTAGGGTTAGGGTTAGGGTTAGGGTTAGGGTTAGGGTTAGGGTTAGGGTTAGGGTTAGGGTTAGGGTTAGGGTTAGGGTTAGGGTTAGGGTTAGGGTTAGGGTTAGGGTTAGGGTTAGGGTTAGGGTTAGGGTTAGGGTTAGGGTTAGGGTTAGGGTTAGGGTTAGGGTTAGGGTTAGGGTTAGGGTTAGGGTTAGGGTTAGGGTTAGGGTTAGGGTTAGGGTTAGGGTTAGGGTTAGGGTTAGGGTTAGGGTTAGGGTTAGGGTTAGGGTTAGGGTTAGGGTTAGGGTTAGGGTTAGGGTTAGGGTTAGGGTTAGGGTTAGGGTTAGGGTTAGGGTTAGGGTTAGGGTTAGGGTTAGGGTTAGGGTTAGGGTTAGGGTTAGGGTTAGGGTTAGGGTTAGGGTTAGGGTTAGGGTTAGGGTTAGGGTTAGGGTTAGGGTTAGGGTTAGGGTTAGGGTTAGGGTTAGGGTTAGGGTTAGGGTTAGGGTTAGGGTTAGGGTTAGGGTTAGGGTTAGGGTTAGGGTTAGGGTTAGGGTTAGGGTTAGGGTTAGGGTTAGGGTTAGGGTTAGGGTTAGGGTTAGGGTTAGGGTTAGGGTTAGGGTTAGGGTTAGGGTTAGGGTTAGGGTTAGGGTTAGGGTTAGGGTTAGGGTTAGGGTTAGGGTTAGGGTTAGGGTTAGGGTTAGGGTTAGGGTTAGGGTTAGGGTTAGGGTTAGGGTTAGGGTTAGGGTTAGGGTTAGGGTTAGGGTTAGGGTTAGGGTTAGGGTTAGGGTTAGGGTTAGGGTTAGGGTTAGGGTTAGGGTTAGGGTTAGGGTTAGGGTTAGGGTTAGGGTTAGGGTTAGGGTTAGGGTTAGGGTTAGGGTTAGGGTTAGGGTTAGGGTTAGGGTTAGGGTTAGGGTTAGGGTTAGGGTTAGGGTTAGGGTTAGGGTTAGGGTTAGGGTTAGGGTTAGGGTTAGGGTTAGGGTTAGGGTTAGGGTTAGGGTTAGGGTTAGGGTTAGGGTTAGGGTTAGGGTTAGGGTTAGGGTTAGGGTTAGGGTTAGGGTTAGGGTTAGGGTTAGGGTTAGGGTTAGGGTTAGGGTTAGGGTTAGGGTTAGGGTTAGGGTTAGGGTTAGGGTTAGGGTTAGGGTTAGGGTTAGGGTTAGGGTTAGGGTTAGGGTTAGGGTTAGGGTTAGGGTTAGGGTTAGGGTTAGGGTTAGGGTTAGGGTTAGGGTTAGGGTTAGGGTTAGGGTTAGGGTTAGGGTTAGGGTTAGGGTTAGGGTTAGGGTTAGGGTTAGGGTTAGGGTTAGGGTTAGGGTTAGGGTTAGGGTTAGGGTTAGGGTTAGGGTTAGGGTTAGGGTTAGGGTTAGGGTTAGGGTTAGGGTTAGGGTTAGGGTTAGGGTTAGGGTTAGGGTTAGGGTTAGGGTTAGGGTTAGGGTTAGGGTTAGGGTTAGGGTTAGGGTTAGGGTTAGGGTTAGGGTTAGGGTTAGGGTTAGGGTTAGGGTTAGGGTTAGGGTTAGGGTTAGGGTTAGGGTTAGGGTTAGGGTTAGGGTTAGGGTTAGGGTTAGGGTTAGGGTTAGGGTTAGGGTTAGGGTTAGGGTTAGGGTTAGGGTTAGGGTTAGGGTTAGGGTTAGGGTTAGGGTTAGGGTTAGGGTTAGGGTTAGGGTTAGGGTTAGGGTTAGGGTTAGGGTTAGGGTTAGGGTTAGGGTTAGGGTTAGGGTTAGGGTTAGGGTTAGGGTTAGGGTTAGGGTTAGGGTTAGGGTTAGGGTTAGGGTTAGGGTTAGGGTTAGGGTTAGGGTTAGGGTTAGGGTTAGGGTTAGGGTTAGGGTTAGGGTTAGGGTTAGGGTTAGGGTTAGGGTTAGGGTTAGGGTTAGGGTTAGGGTTAGGGTTAGGGTTAGGGTTAGGGTTAGGGTTAGGGTTAGGGTTAGGGTTAGGGTTAGGGTTAGGGTTAGGGTTAGGGTTAGGGTTAGGGTTAGGGTTAGGGTTAGGGTTAGGGTTAGGGTTAGGGTTAGGGTTAGGGTTAGGGTTAGGGTTAGGGTTAGGGTTAGGGTTAGGGTTAGGGTTAGGGTTAGGGTTAGGGTTAGGGTTAGGGTTAGGGTTAGGGTTAGGGTTAGGGTTAGGGTTAGGGTTAGGGTTAGGGTTAGGGTTAGGGTTAGGGTTAGGGTTAGGGTTAGGGTTAGGGTTAGGGTTAGGGTTAGGGTTAGGGTTAGGGTTAGGGTTAGGGTTAGGGTTAGGGTTAGGGTTAGGGTTAGGGTTAGGGTTAGGGTTAGGGTTAGGGTTAGGGTTAGGGTTAGGGTTAGGGTTAGGGTTAGGGTTAGGGTTAGGGTTAGGGTTAGGGTTAGGGTTAGGGTTAGGGTTAGGGTTAGGGTTAGGGTTAGGGTTAGGGTTAGGGTTAGGGTTAGGGTTAGGGTTAGGGTTAGGGTTAGGGTTAGGGTTAGGGTTAGGGTTAGGGTTAGGGTTAGGGTTAGGGTTAGGGTTAGGGTTAGGGTTAGGGTTAGGGTTAGGGTTAGGGTTAGGGTTAGGGTTAGGGTTAGGGTTAGGGTTAGGGTTAGGGTTAGGGTTAGGGTTAGGGTTAGGGTTAGGGTTAGGGTTAGGGTTAGGGGTTAGGGTTAGGGTTAGGGTTAGGGTTAGGGTTAGGGTTAGGGTTAGGGTTAGGGTTAGGGTTAGGGTTAGGGTTAGGGTTAGGGTTAGGGTTAGGGTTAGGGTTAGGGTTAGGGTTAGGGTTAGGGTTAGGGTTAGGGTTAGGGTTAGGGTTAGGGTTAGGGTTAGGGTTAGGGTTAGGGTTAGGGTTAGGGTTAGGGTTAGGGTTAGGGTTAGGGTTAGGGTTAGGGTTAGGGTTAGGGTTAGGGTTAGGGTTAGGGTTAGGGTTAGG